ACACACACACACACACACACACACACACACACACACACACACACACTATTAGTCCACTCAGGTGCCACAGCCTCAGGGTAAAAACTAACCTATCACTGACACAAAGGAAGTAAAGTACCACAAGCAGCACTGTTAACAAGGGGTCGGATTTCAGTTTGAATACTCATATCTTCTGGATTCCGTTTTCCTTGGCTTTCTGAAACAAAACTGTGGTCTATGGATCCTGAACCAAAAACAGTGGGGATAAAGTTTCCCATGTAAAAGTGAAGCTGTCTTATGTGCTGCTGTAAGAGTAGAAACTACACACATCCTCTGAAGAAAACCTCAACTGAAGTTCAGACTATGTGAAACCAAACACACACACACACAGATAGATTATAAGTTATGGCGTGTAAAGAAAACCCAAGAAAAAACACCAATGGAAAACAGAATATAAGCTTTCTTCAAATTTTCTCTGAGAGCTGCACCATAACCTCTGTTACAAAAATATTGGGCCAAAAATGATCATTTTGCCTTTATAAAATAACCAAAGGCTTTTTTAAATTCTGGAAGCTGGCAGTTAAAATTTAACTGAACTTAACAACCCTAAAGAAACCAGAATTCATTGACTTGGAAATAACCTTTACCAGTTTTAGCACATATTTAAATCAAGCTTCAGTCACTGTAAACATGACTTGAGCTTCTTGCCTCTTAAATGCAGTGACAGGCACAGACCAGGGTCAATTGTGGACTAAAGGGTGACTGTAATTGGGTAAGAGGGTCAAAGGGGGAAGTCAGTCACTGTATCTCATGGCTACGGACAGATCAACCACAAGGTGGTGCAAGTGTTCCACATTCAGCCTCCTACAGTTTCTTTTTGTGAATGAAACTGTAGGAGACAGTTTCATTGGTCTCATCTGGAATTCTGGAAGTATCCAAATATGTATAAATCAAACAGCCACTTCGAAGCTGGGATAAATTGGTGTTGTAGGTGTAGGTGCTGAGGTGGAAAGGGCACATTAAAAAGCTGATAAACAGAGCTTTAAAATGTAGAAGATACAAGTTGATTGCCACAACATAAGGAAAATATTTAATGCATGTAGGACTTGATAGAAAAAACTGTAATCTAGCTAATAATGCTGTTGTATTTTAATAATTAATACCAATACAGCTGCGCAGTAATCTATAAACTATAATGACAGACAGCAAATTGTATCTATTCACTCCCATGTGTACAGTGGAAAATTCTTCTGAACCTATTGAGCAATGAATCATCAGAACTTCTGGTTTTAAAACCTGTTAATAACCGCAGGCCAGTTCACGTGAGTAAAGATTGCAACTCCTTAACATAACAATACAGACAAACTCTGTCAAACTTTCTGATGTCAGTTGTGGAAAAGTAAACACCCCATCAGACGAGTTAAACCTGTCTCTGATGAACAGACAAAACTATTTAAGGGTGAGTGAGAGTTAACCGAAGAAGGAATGGGCTATAAATAATACACATCATAATAACGTGAGTAAAGTATCTTGGTTCATATCTATTTCATTCAATATTTTCAAATATCTTGAATATACGTATGTATCATTATTTATTATCTTAAGAGTTCCGGTAGGTGACAATTCCAGTTTTTATTGGCTTTAACTTTACCTTTTAGCTTAACCTTACTGACCTACGTTTAACTGTTCTCAAAACTCCTATTAAAGTTGTGGTTAATCAAATGTGTTGTGATGACACCCAAGGTGTCTCTGGAATCATGTGGAAGAATGTTGGTCCGCACTGCTTCTGTTCGTTGGTGTTTCTAGTGTTTGTTGATGCACTGTTGATTTTTTACATTTCAGACATTCTAATTTTCTGCTGTGTTTGGGATCTTTGAAAGGTTGTGCGAGGCAGTTTCAGCCATCAGAAAAATGGCCTCACATCTGATTCTCTTGTCTGCCCAAAGGATATTGTTCCACAAATCTTGGTGGTTTGTACAGATGCGCGTTTGCAAAATAACCTACAGAGCAAACAAGGCACACACATTCCACAGTTCCACAGATGGAATTATAGTGTTTTAAACCGCAGTTATTCTTAGTCTCCCACATAAACTGTCTAACTTAAGAACAGAGAGTGCAGTTTGGACTGAACTGATAAACTTCTTCATGAAGAGGTAATAATACAAAGTTAAAAGAGAGCCCAGTTTTTGTGTTTGCTTTTTTGATTTTGTGTCTCTATGTGCTGATTCAAGCTGTTCAAGCCTGTGTTGGCTTGACAGCAAGGGTATTTATGACCACAGTGCAAGGCTTGATTATTTCTCCTGTCAGGCCTTAAGGGTCAACATAAACTTTGGTTGTTTGCATTCATCTATGAATGGCCTTTGCTGTAATTATTTTCCTGTCACAAGTGCAGTTTTCAGTGATTAATCTTTGTGGGAAATGTCCTTGTCTCCTATTTTCAATTTGATATATATGCAAAGCTTGTTGTGCCTTCCGATAGTTTTGTACTATCTTAAAAATACGTGAGAATAAAACAAACAAGTAAATGTCATGTCAGAGTTGGTATAAACTCACCCCTTGTTTTTGCTTTAGAAGGACCCTGAGGACTTTTTCGGTGAAGAAGAAGAGGTAGAAGCCTCCGAACACCACAGCAGATTTGGACACGTAGAAATCCACCAGAGGATCAAAACCAAAGGCCTATCAGGGAGCAAGACCCTGATGTTAGTTTGATGATTATCAATCATTAGTGTTGTTAACATCTGCCAGATATAAAGAATTAAAGTCTGAAGACCTGAACAACGAGTGGTTGTTAAAGTGTGAACTTTGAATTCTTCTTGGTTGCGGCTGCATAGTTTATTGATATTTGGTAAGATTCTCTATATTAAACAAAAACTGAGCTGTAATTCATCTTTCCTCCCATGGAAACAGACATATCATATAAACTTATAAAAACCTTTTTCAGATAAGACCTGAACAAAATTTTCCTCATAGGACATGTTTAAAGACAACTTTATGCAATAAACTCCATAACAGTTTTGCTCACTGGCTGTCAACTCACGAATAACAAGTGTCTGCATTTGTGGGGGGGTTTTCGCGCAGAAAATGTAATTTGAGTATGGAAGCATTATCTTGTATACAGAGCTGTAGATGTGAACAACCTTTAAAGAAAAACAAAATTAAAATGAAAAATAATTTAGTTTTTTTTAAGTTTCAATGAAAGAACAATCCTGGCACTCGGTTGCCACATTAACTGGGTATATCTGTTTAATCCAAAAATATGATACACCCATAAAGCTAACAGTCACTGTGTATGTGTCAACAGGGCTCAGTGTTTGAAAAAAGGGCCATCTTACAACACAATTATTTCTACATAAACTTTTTTATTTACTGAAGAGATTATGGTGCAATGCTTTGTGTTCACTTGATGTTTAAGGTGAAATGACAGGACCAGAGTCAGGTAAAAAAGCATAGCATTGTTATGACTTACTATGACAATCACACAGATCAGCCAAAACTTTTAAATCTCTGACAGCTACAATAAAGTGGGATCTGTAAGAAGTGAAGCCTTGAATGACCTAAGTGTATCTGCCAGATTAAGCAGGACAAGCACATGAGGCAGGTGGTCATAATATTATGGCTGGTCAGTGTCTTGCACATTAAATTTGATTTAAAAAATACAAAACTGTGGCTTCATTTCAATGTTAAACAACATCAAGACTCTGGTCTCTGCTGAAACTACTCTGATTAGCACTACCTCTGGGATGAGCTGAAACAAGGCGTTGGAGTAGAGCGTGCCAATGGCCAGGGCTATGAAGTACAGCAGCAGTCGCTTGTAAAAGGTTCTCTTCATGAAGGGCACCACGCTTGCCCCGATCAGCGAGCACAGAGAGATCAGTGTCACACACAGGATCCCATAACCCCATACTGAGCAGCAGAGAGAAACAGATGGGGAAGGTGAGGGAAAGAAGAGATAATTAGTTCAGAGATGATTTAATCAGATTAATCACCAGGGAAAGGAATGATACGTTAAAGAACACCAACCAAAGAACACCAACCATTTTTTAATTTAACTAAAACAACCTGTGAAAAGGGGAGATTACTGAAAGGCACAATTTTGTCTTTCCATATAAAAAAGTCTCATTGTCCCCTGAAAATAAAAAAAGAGAAACACCACCTTTCATTTTGAAGGTTAGAACTGACCACCTGTGAAGCAGTGTTAAAACCCAGTGAATTTGTTTTCATCAGAGAGAGGAAGTTATTATGGTTAAATTACACACGCACACACAGACACTCTGTATTAGTCCACTCAGGTGCCACAGCCTCAGGGTAAAGACTAACCTATCACTGACACAAAGGAAGTAAAGTACCACAAGCATCACTGTTAACAAGTGGTCGGATTTCAGTATGAATACTCATATCTTCTGGATTCCGTTTTCCTTGGCTTTCTGAAACAAAACTGTGATCTATGAATCCTGAAACAAAAACAGTGGGGATAAAGTTTCCCATGTAGAAGTGAAGCTGTCTTATGTACTGCTGTAAGAGTAGAAACTACACACATCCTCTGAAGAAAACTTCAACTGGCCAAGAACTGAAGTTCAGACTAGGTGAAACCAAACACACACACACACACAGATAGATGATAAGTTATGGCGTGTAAAGAAAACCCAAGAAAAAACACCAATGGAAAACAGAAAAGAGGCTTTCTTCAAATTTGCTCTGAGAGCTGCACCATAACACTTAAACCACCATGTGACTCCCAAAAAAAACCAAATAAGTGTTTGGCTTTTGTATTAGAGTTCAAAGAGCAACGGAGGTGTATACATGGCTAGATGGCAAACCTCAGGCAGGAGCTGAAGGATGGCAGTGGAGAACAGCGTGCCAATGGCAAGAGCGATGAAAAAGGTGAGTGCTTGTTTCACGTAGCCCATCTTCATCAGAGGCACGATGAAGACTCCAGTGAGGGAGAAGGCATTTATCACGGTCACGCTCAAGAAAGAAAAACCCCAAACTGGAGTTTAAACAGAGAAGGAAGGGTACTGTTAAAACACACTACCACCCTAAATGCAGTCTGACCAACTAACTGAAAAGTAATCTAGAATTTATGTAAGAAGCTAGAAAAAAAATATAATCATATATTTCACAAACACAGATTAGGAAAAAGTTGTGTAAATTAAGTTAAGATCAAGGAGGAGTGCCTTTTTTTAGGGGATTTCAACATAAAGACTGGAGCCTGGCTGGTGCCCAAAAGATAAACTGAATAAAGCAAGAAGTGATTAATAAGGTTGGAAAATGTGTAAAATATAATTCCAACTGTTAAATTGCTTCACCCATTCTTTCACAGCTTTTCAAGTGGGAAGAAGTCTGTTATAAGGGCTCTTGACTGAGGCACAGACACCGATAGGGTAGATGTTAAAAGCTTTGCCTTTAAAGAACCTAACTAATGTATCAGTGAGACTTTTAACAGCCATAGAAAAACACATGACAGTCCTACAATTTTAAATTATGATCTGTATTTTTTTCTTCCTAGTAGCTCAGTGGATTATCTATGAAATTCTGGATGAAAGGAAAAAGAGACAGTATTAAATAACCTCTGTGTACAAATGAAACCAGTTTCATGGGATGACCTCCCAAGTGCATTCTTTGAGCTGAAAAATTGCTTTAAAAGCTTATGTTCAAGTTTAACATCAATTTTATCTTAGAGTATATCTGCTGTGATCAATTTGATACAGCTTTGACATTTACATTGAGCAAAAACAAGACAAAGATCAGATCATGTGTAGAAGATTTGCAGTATGTAATAATTTCCATGGCATCTGCTTCTCCTGCTGTTGGCAAGAATCCAAAGGTTTCACAAAGAACTTCAGCTCTCCAGCCAGAAAAGTGTGAAGTGACTTAAGGTAATTCGTGGTTGATTAGGAATAGAGAAATATGTGACTGGAAAGACAGGGCCAGAGCTCTGCATTAGCTCTTCTTCAGCTGTCAAGAATTAAGCAAATTGGAAAAGAAACACAACTGGGTTTCCACAAAGGATTCATGGGAAGTAATGAATGGTATTTCTATGAAATAGATGGGAAAATTACAGTTGTTAAACAGTTCTGATTATACCTTCTGCAGATCAGATTCACTTTAGAAAAACTCAAACACAGCAAGAGTCCCCCCCGTTTTCAGTAACTTCACATTGAATACGGATGGCAAATGAGCCATAGGCCCTGAAGGACATCCTACTGGATGTGCACAGTCAGCAGTCTGGATTGAGTTGCAGTGAGTCAGCAGCTAAGGAAATATGAACTTTCCTGTCTTTACCTGGATTAGATCTCTGCTACACCGCTGATAAGCAAACCTTTTGAACTTTTTTCAGTTAATCAAAAAAATAAATGAAACATTTAAGTCACCTTACAAGACTAAATTATATAATTTTTTCAAGATATCAAAGCTTTGAACACAGAAAAGGCTTGAGGCATTGATGGTTAAAGAGTTAGACAATACAAATGTCATCACTGTTTCAAGGAAAATTAACTATGTTTAATCAACATACAGTGTATGTAACTAGAAATTTCAGACTGATCGCAGGACATTTGACAATAACCTGAAAGGTGGGAAAATTGACCAGCTAGCCAGTGCTCACCTTCTGCATCAGAGGGCCTAGGGGAGCTGTCGCTGCTTAGCTCCTCCTCTTTTTGGGCCCTACAGCTTCCAGCATCCAGCTGTTGCAGCATGCTGGGGCACAGCTTCTGTAAACCCTGCCCGTCCAAATGCGACTGCTCACTGATGCTGTAAATAGCCAGCACATCTGCTGGCAAACACTAGAGACAAAAATGTAGCAATGAATCAAAGCAAAAAGAAGCAAAAATCAGCTTTAACAACTGACCTCAAGTTCATGCATTACAGGTACATCTTGCACTGGTATTAAGGATTTTCATTTTAGTAATGTTTTGTAAACAATAAAAAGAAAATGAAAATACCTCCAGATTAATAAAATAACAGGAAGACAGGAAATGTACACCTCATGGTGGGTAACGTCAATGTCATTTAAAATGAAAAGGTATGCAAAGTGCTACTTAGATTTAACTTCACATGAACATTTAAGTGAGAAGAAATCAAGGGTTTGATGCCAGTACACCTTAAAGTAAAGGTCATTAAGACAGGTAACAAACAGGTAGACTCCCCGTATAAGAGAGTCCCTTATGACCACAGGAAATCCACTCAGTCTCTATTTTGTGACGATAAAAAGACACATAGTGACCCTCTCCTTTCAGTAAGCATTAATTCAGGATCACAACATGTTCAACAGCTGATGAAGAATCTTAACGGGCTTGTATGTAACTATGGAGGTAGGGCAGGAAAAGTTTTTGAGTAAAGGTTTTAGTTTCACTATTGTTCTCCAACATATCTACCTGAAAAGCAAACTGCTGTCTTTTTTAAGTGTCCCATTCATAGTTAACAGACATCAACAATTAAAACGTGTACCAGACACATCAAACATCAAATCCCAGGTGACCTTTACTGCTGGTTACCTTTCATTTCTAAGAACTGTTATCCACCATTACCCAGTAAAACTACACAGAAGTAGATCAGCAGGTATTGGAGTCAACCATCTATGACACTAAGTGTGGGAAATATGCTGAAAATGTCTGCCAGGCACCAGTACATTTTTCTGCTTGGATATAGAACTAAAGCTGGTTTTGTTTTTCTGCTTCAGAGAGTTATGGAGGCACAACTAGCACTCGTCCCTCAGTTCCGAACATTTTTATAATTCTTTTTTTTCATGATTTGGACACAAACTAAGAGGATTATCTTTTAATCTTCCAAATGCAGTTTATTTATCATAAGCAATTTGAATAGTTTAATAATCACCATTTTAATTAAACTGTATGCAGTTTTTTAAAAACATGTTGTTCAGACTAAATTTCCCATTTCCTGTTTCATCGTTGCATAAACTAGTAAAGAGTCAGACCTTTAACAGAGGGGAACGCTTCTGTCGAGTCTTGTTTTTTTGTATAAAATATGCATAGATTTGTGTCCTCAATTCCCCAAATAAAAACAACAATAAGAGAACAGATAACAATAATAGGAGAACAGGTTCTTAATCAAACATTTAAACTTGTTGAAAATAAACAAATTTAAAACACAAAGATAACACCACAATGAGAGCAGAATGTTACTGCACACTTACTCTGTTCCTTCTTCACTCTAACTTTGGTTAAAAAATATCTTTGATTGTACCTTAGAGTTATTGGTTTTGGAGGGAAGGGTCGTCATCGTCTCTGCTTCTTCGCTGTCAGCACCATCACTTTCACGTTGACCGTGGCTGAGTACAGCTAGAAGAGAGCGTAGCTGGGGCACACTAATGGTGCTGTTGTCCCCATACCGGGCGAGCAGGTCCTGAAGCACCTTGGTGGGGTCCTCCCTCTGACTGTTGCCTTGACCCCACACTCCACCAGTGGGGAACGATAGCACGACCAGGGCCACGATGAGCCAAGGTGGGAGACAGATGAGAGGGATGGTCGATGTGGCACGCCCATGATGGGACCAGATAAGCATGACTTCTTCAGTGGATGTTAAATATAATCTATGGGCAGAATGGAGAGAAGCTCGGAATACAATGGCAAAAAAAACTAAAGGAGGAATTCTTAAATGTTCAGTTTTATGAAGAGCAAGAACTTGCATCAATGTGCATTTAAAACTCAAAAATTTGAATAAGGTAAAATATATGGTATAAATTATGTAAGTACAAAAGAAAATGTGGATTTTATTTTTGGTTGTTAATAAGTGAATATATATATTTTTTTTAAATTCCACAATATTTCCACACATTTCATACAGGAAAAATTCAAACGCACACATACACTCACACAAAGCCCTGATTCATTTCAGGGCACCCTGCAGGACCAAAGCAGGGCTTTACAAACAGTAAACAGTAACTGTAAAGCAGTTCTAACCTTTTCCTATAGACCGGCTAATGGTGGATGGTGTGTAAATAGCCTGATTCAGTCCACCTATCCCGAGGCTTCAGACGTGCTGAGTGTTAGTGTCAGGGAGGTCAAGGGAACAGAGAATGCAGAAAAGGAAATATCTGACAAGAACAGCAGATTTCTCAGGAGAGCAGTGGATAAGGCACAGACACAAATAAAAGGAAGGTTACAAGAAAAAAAGTGGATATAAATTTTAAAGAGGAACGAATCTGAAGTGGCCGCTTGCAGTTTGAGTATTGAGTACTCTTCTTCCTCACTGTTGTATTCAAATTCTACATTCGGGCCAGCCAAAAAGTTAACATAAAGCCAAACCCTGATTTCTTCATAATGCAATGAATTTATCTCTTTGATTTGCAAGCCACCATTTTTTAAAGCTCATTAAATTGTCTGGAGGTAGAATTCAGACAGAAAAAATCCTGCAGCTGCAAAAAAATTCAGTTCAGCTACTGTGGAGAACAAAACATGGTAAAACAAACATCTGCAAACACTGCCCTGTAGTTATTTACATTCATGAATACATGCTAAGTATTTATCTAGTTCATTCTCCATAGAGTAAATAAAACCATCAAACTTTTTTTTTATTCAACAACTTTCAAATCACCTTAGAGCCACCAAAACAAACAGGTAAAAGTGTATGAAAACAATGTTCAGGAGCAGAAAAATATCCCCCACAATTATTCATGCTGTCAACGAACCCATTTGGTCCTAAAGTTCCCTATTCACACACTGCTGATAACATTGCCTCATTTTCTAATTCCGTGATCTGGGAGGTTCATGATGGTTGCATGATGATGACTGTGCAAGTCCATCCATCCATCCATTACCAATACCGCTTATTCCCTGATGGGGTTGCTGGGAGGCGACAGTGCTAACCACCACACCACCGTGCCGCCCTACTGTGCAAGTTATTCTTCCAAAATATTTTCCCAAATAGGGGCAAGAGGGTCAGAGGAAACCTGGTGGCTAACGCATGCGATTCAGCTGACAACTATTCAGGTGACCTCCATATGACATTACAGAAAATCACAAAGCAATCACTCCATTGTAGCAGGGTCTGTATCTGACTAGCTTCTTTTTTCCTGAAATACCTTCCTCTTGTCACAAAGACAGTCTTATGGCGAAAGACAATGGACAAAGGTGTAATCCACTGTGCACTGGTGTGGAAAATGGTATGTCAGGATCCCAGATCGGAGACAGGACGCAGGTTGAGGACCATTTAAAAAACAATTATCTTTATTTATTCACTCTCCATAGCAGAGATAAATCAACAGGCTATGAAATATTTTCGATAAATGATTTCTCCACAAAGAACAATGGTCTAAAAATGATCTACAAATAAAAACTCACTCCAAAACACACAGGATCACTAAACTATGAAACAATTAACAAAATGATAAATCACTCCTTTAACGGAGGCAGGACACAGCTAAGAAAAGTTATAGACAAGGACGATGAAATGCTAGAGATGATCTGACAAACAACACTCTGGCATAAGACAAGGGGTGACTTGGACTATAAGTACACATGAGGGCAAATGAGGAACAGGTGGACAAGACATGACATAACCAAAAAAAACAAACCCACAAACCCCAGGCGTGACACAGTATGATTCTAGTTTTCATGGTCCCTTCCTGGGCAGATGTGCCCCCTGCATTTGCAGGTTAAGTTTGGAAATGTTTGACAATCAGCGTTTTCTTTAATTTCGCCAACCTGAGAAAGTAAAGAGAACTGTGCTCTTCATTTAGATACTCTCTCCTTTAAAATCTTCCACGATTACCTAAAGAGACCTTATGTTAATGCAAATACTAGAGGGAAAATAGACACTTGAAAAACATTTCATTATGTTTTGCTTGTTCTCACTGTAATGCTCACACAATCCTGCTCAGAGCAACATAAGCTTTGAACCTTGTCCTACTGTCTGTTTGCTTCAATTGTTGGTCAAGAGCAGGGTACTGTGAAAAACAATCCTGTGGGGGAAAAAATCCAGACTAAAATCCATAATTATCTCCTTCTCAAGACTTTTTTTAAGTTGATGGGATGTATAGAGCAGAAAAATACTATTTCAGACTAAATCTTAATCAAACTACTTCATATTTATAGAAGGTTGGAAATTTCAATTAGATAAAAAGAGATGACAGAAATCTGTTTCCTCTATCAGGACAGGAAGAGTAGTGCCCAGTCCCTTCGGAAGTTTGGTCTCTCCTGTAACCTATACCAGTCACGATTTTCACAAGTAGATAAACACGAAGCAATGTCTTTCCTCTCCCTCCAGCAGCTAAGAAATGTTGAATGTATTTTGAAATACCAGCGGTCTTAAATCTGTACTCACATACCTACAGCACCAGAGGGAAAAAGAGAGAAAAACATTGGCCCAATAATCCTTTGATCTGTTTGCCATCATTTCACCATCACGCCACAGGCTCTTTGGCAGAGTAGCGCATTACAGATTAATTAATAAATATCTCTTGATAAAAACCTGAAGATAAAGCAGCTTTGCTTTATCTAAAATGACTGAAATTAAATAACTGGAGTTTTGGACTGCTTACCAGGGAATGTTGACAAATAATATAAGACACTTTGGGCTGTTTGAATTCATTATGATTATTTTCATCATTACAACGCAAATAAATTTTGCTAGTTTGTGCATGATTTCAAGACGACATGAATTCAAGTCTACACATAGCCAGTGTCAAATATAATACATTTCATCTACTACCCGAGCGTTGATATTAGTAGTACCAAATGAGACTTCATTTTTTCTTGGGCTAAGTTCTCGATCAACATTAGACGACAAAACAACCAGAGAGAATGACTAATAGCCGTTAAACAGGTGATGGTCAGGCTGCTTCTAAGTATGTGAGAAAAACAACAGAATCAAAACATATTCGTGCACCCTTGTGCTCTGAAACATAAACAGCTCACACGGCCAAGCCACTAGAAGCTCTGCGGGTGGAGAGCCATTCTTCACAGGCTGATGGTTTAGGTCCAATCAAAACAATACAGAAACTGCCTGTAATGTCATCATGTCAGGACACAACTATGTCATGACACACTCACACACATGCAGTGTCATCGCGTGTGTGTTACGTTCACAGCTCCGATCCAAGGCCTATTTGTAGCTGGTGAGATAAAGAAAAGCGGCTGGCAGTCTGGAGCAGAGATGTTAGGCCATCAACTCGACAGTGAGGACTTCTGTCACCCTGGGAAGTATGAGGTTCGGCGAGGGACACGCAGCCAAGTGAGAGAATGTTTCTTAAATCACAAACAAAATCAAATTTGTGATGTCAGAGAGGAAAGAGAGCACAAGAAGCACACACACAAACTGGCCCAACCAGGTGAACAGTAGTCAAGTCAAGAGAATCAATTATTAGGAAGCTTGAAAATGTATTTAGCGCTCCCAAATTTGTCACCAACGTTGTTGCGGGGCACATGTGGGGATCAGGCACGATGGAGCAATTAAATTATTAATAATGCCAGCCACCACCACTTGCAGCTCCAACACCCATATGTTAACACGCCCCAGTAAGAAATTTCCCTTGTCATCATCAACTTCAGCTGCTGACAGAGCAGATATAAAATCTCTGATGGATCACAGGTCTAAAGGGAATTCTGGCTGACGCTTTACTGACATGCTGAACATTCAGTCACCAGGCAAGCAATGAATGGCACGCAGGGAAAATAATTGAGAATCTTATGCAACCAAAAGAAATTGCCTTGCGTTGCGTTTTACTCGAGTAAATCTGAACTGAGTCGAGTGAATAGTTCAACAGGAGGGAGACCAAAATCACACAAGAGGAGTGCTGATAAAAATGTCTAGTTTCTGCCTTCAACTCCTACATCAGTATTCAACAATGAAATTAAATATTCAAACATTTACTCATTTTGAGCACGGAGTGAAATGCTCCCCAAAAGCCCTTACCACACATTTCATTGTTTGATGTTGATTCAACATCTTCATATCTGTTTAAAAACATTTCAGAGACACAAATTGAGAGAAATACCTCCGAAATATGGAGCTATGGCTATTGCGAAATAGATTGTAAGTCCTAAGCAATGGCATTATTATATCATCAGTTAATCTAAAATTATTTCTCAATTTATGGAAATGATAAAGTCTCGTGTGTAAATTTTAAAACAGAACGGATTCATTTTTATCTTACCGTACTGTTAATTAGCACAGCCACACAAAACAAAATAGTCCCGCTTAACTCCAGACAACATGCTCCTACAAGCAGAATCTGTTCTGTCCTCTCAGCACCCTGATCACATTTTATATACCACTAGTCTGAGGACAATGTTAAATGCACATTGTTTCCTCAACCTTAACCCAGAACCCCTAATTACTGTTTCACTGGGTTCTCAGCCTATCATCATTAGCCAAGACTGTCATTAGATGTGTAAGTGATGGCTGTGAGCACTGTGTCAGTTCACTAAATGCTTTCCCAATGTGTTCCTCTCATCCTGAATACCCACTAAAGGACTAGCCAATGTAAAATTTAAGGTTTTGGGCATGACTTGGGCAACTCAACCCCACACTTGAAATCAGAGGCCAGCTTAGAGGTCAGTATGCCACAAGTAGAAAACCACATGAAAATGATTCATTTCAGCACATTTTGAAATTGATATAGGTGTTGTTTATGTTGCTTTCTTTTCACTGCTTTTTTTCTTTGTTCTCAGACAAGTCTAGACATTTCTCTTAAAGGTTAAAGGAAAGCTCATTTAGACTAGATTCAGTTGGATGACAAAATAAACTAGATAACTATATGACTTAATTATTTTTGCTTGAGTAGCAACTGATCAGGGTTAATTCACACAATTCACTTAATTCACTCAATTACTGTACATCCAATGACAACAAACCCAAATTGCTTCAAATAAGCTATCTCTATGCACAAGGAACATGGACAAAAAAATCAAAACAGCTGTTTTTTTGTCCTGATTAAAACAGATTTGAATCAGCAGCCTGAAATCACTGTTTCTGATCACTTCCATCCAAAAACTCTTGTTACAGCTTAATCATGCAGACAAGAAACCATATGAGAACAAGGTCCAGAAAAATGTTTTTTTGTTCATCCCAATGGAGTCACCATTAGCGCGAAAGGTAATTATAGGTTGGAGAGCATCATCTCCTGTATCAAGATTACATACTTTACCTGAAAGGCTTATTATTCAGAAAAGACAATCCTGCAGCAGCTTTGCAACAAAGGAACATGGTGCAGGGGTCCACATGTTTCATCATCTAAAACATCTTGAACACTATTGCCACACAATGCAAAAAGAAGACTCAGGTCTGTAAAGCAGTACAACTGGGTAGACAAGAGGAGCCCTCTCAGGTTTGTTTTATTACTCCAGAAGCAAAGACTGCAATACAAAACCAAAGTGACTGTGTCCAAAAGATGATGTTTTGATCATATTGTGTAATTTCAAGGGTTAGTTTTAGAATGGTTCCAGATATTGTTGGAATTCCCATTTGGTTCCCTGTAATTTGGTAATTAAATGTTTGTTCTGTACTACTAATTAGAAATGTTCAACTTGTCTCTGATTTGAGTGTACGTTAGACGTACATTGAACAGTTTTCTGGTGTGAAATGTCCCCTAAATTACTGATGAGATTCAAAAAGACTCGAAGACAGCAGGATTTGCAGGTTCTCCTTCACAAACTTTGACAGCACCGTACTGACTTCCCACAAAAGCATGATGAACATGTAAGTCAAGGACCAAGACATCAATTGAGACTTAAGTAAGCTACATTATGTTAGCCCTAAACCAAGCCCCTGGGCGAGCAACTGTTTTGTATTGTACGTTAAACAGGTTCGATTGACATTCCCGTGAGCGATCAAATAAACGTTGACGTTTGTTTTTAACAAACACAGTGCTTAACTACAATCAGGCACGGTAGCTAGCTTCTTGTTATTCTTGGTAGTTAGCTTACCCGGTGATGCTGTGAGAAAAGCAAGCTTGACGTCAACTCACCTTCACAGCCACGTCTGCCAGGCTCCAACACAGTAGAGAAAATCAGTCAGATTTGTAAATCGTCAGACATGGGCAGCCGCATCTGTTGTGTAGGTTCATTCATTTACAGGCAGACATGTCTCTTTTCCCTCTCCTTCATCTAGTTTCAAAGGATACGCACACAGCCAGCGCGTGGAAGATGTGATAGGGCCATTTTCCGTGGTGACGTCGATAGTTATCTGTCCTTGTTTATAAATATACTTGTCTCCCTCGTGCGGTCAATGGTTGTTTCTGCAATTAAGTCATTGTACCATAAATTAGTAAACTTGTATCATTTTGAAGTGTCACAGTGGCATAATAATCAAGGAGGATAATTAGGACGCCAAAATTTAGTCTCGATTTTACATGTTCGTATGGAAATTAAATTGTTAACAATGATAATGAATTTAAGTCTGCATAGTCCCCGCTCAAGGACTTCTAATATTCTTGGCGACGTTAAACTATTTCGTCGCTGTACCAGAACAGATATATGACACACATTTTCCTGACTATTCTAGTAATGATGGGCTCTGTCCCGGATTTGAACCCGTGACTTCCTGCGCTTTCAGAGAGAATTATACCCTTGGTGTCTGACCAACGTGCCACTGCACCCAAAAACACTGAACATTTTCACAAAATGCTTGATCATTGAACATATCAATTGTACCTGAGATACTATCATAAACATGTTTTGTTAACAAATAAACTGTTGACATAGAATTGAAATAAAACTAATATGTAAATATTGTTCAATTATTCGAATTCAAGGCCATATTCTTATACCGTCAAAATTTATAAAGATACAACCTATAAATCGTAGACACAGATATCATATTAATGTATATAAACGGAAAGGTTTAAACCTGAAAAAAATACTTAAACTAAAACGTCGTTCTTCTATGACGTATATATGTATCAGGCGGAAGTTGTCCGATTTGCGGAAGTAGGCATATATTGTTTCTTCTGTTGTGTTTGTAGCTCACTGACACGATTTGGCTAAAGACTAGTTGAGGGCGTCCTTATCTAGCTATATGTAGGAGTCCGTGAATTTCGATTTCACGATTAGAACAGGTAAGAATTGCAACAGAACTCCTTATGTGGTAGTTACCAGTTTAACTGATCGCTAAGTTAACCGTTTGCTAAAGTGGCGCGACTAACGTAAAGAGAAATGTCGTTCACCACAGTGACGGGTTCACTTAAACTAACTCGTAGAGGCGGAAACATACTTTTATGGAATGTATAGCATGTGAGCGAACCATTGGGTTTGAATATAGAGTGAAAGGTGACTCGCTGGTTGAGGCGTGAAGGGCCCACCTTTTCGCATATGATTTGTTTGAAACTGTGCTTATCTTCGTAGTTAGCTGGATTTTGAATAAAAATGTTCAATCATTTGAATTACACGAAATATAAAATATTTTTTTCTCAGTCACACTGTGAACGCAAGTGAGTTTGTAAATGTGCTGTAGCTGATATGATTCATTTCTAATGCGCCTTTAGACTTCTGATCAAAATATAATTCATAATGAGTAATGTGCTTTTGGAATAAAAATCCAACTGATTTATCATATGGAATTACATAATAATTACTAATGCGCATGGAAGAGTTAAGTTACGTTTGACTTGATTTGCATAAATGATGTACTATTTGCACTTTTAATAATCAATAGTGTTTTATGTTTGAAAGTTTTTGATAAAATTACAGCTGTCAGCAGAACGTGCCTGTATTAAAATACCAATATTTCCCTTTAAAATTTGCCACTGTGTAGATAAACTAATAGATAAACTATTCATTACAGCTATAGAGAATTACACTTATTTCCACTCTCCGCTGTCATCAGTGTGCATATAAGTTCACTTTCTGATTGTGATCTTTTTGCATACCTGTCAAATGTTTCAAATGTTCTGCAAGAAAAATATTGTAAAAGGGAATTTTAACAAAGCATTCCTGTCACTTTCATTTGTTTAGAGCTACTAGCCCTAAAAATCACTAGGTGCATTTGAAAATACAAAAAACAAATCATGTTTGCAAGGCTTTAGTGCACATGAGAATTGCCCCTCTTTTTATCAGCACTACACCTCTCAGATTAAACTGTTAACCCACAGCCTTTACATCTGCCTTCTTGCTGAGAATTCATCAGTGAATAATCAATAAAAGCTTCTTGAAGATTACTCAGCATGCTGATGAAGCATTCATCCTAGAGAAAAAAATCAAGGCACACAAACGGACTCAAACTGTTTTTTGTATTCCTTTAAGCTTAATTAGAATAGGACCTCCAACACTGTGTTAGAGCTCGCTTTCCTTTTTCACAGAATAATGATAGTCCTGTACTAATTCTTTTAATCAAAGCAAATACATTTTCCTCACAATATAAATGAGAATTCACAACTATTCTCAACTGTGTTGAATGTGTAGTCATTAAGCAGGTCAAATAGTTTACTTCCCACCTACCCCTAAACTGTTTTGGCTGTGTAAAATTTGTTCGTTTGATTTATATTTTCATTTCTACATTTATTCCATGAATAGATTTTTAAAAAGGCCAACTTTAAGACAATTTTAATCTGCTGGCATCTAGCTGTGCATGTTGTTGTTGTTTTCTGTTCTTAGATTTCAAGATATACATGTAAGAATGTCCATAAGTCTTTTGGATAGAGGAATGTTTTGTATGAAATACAGATTTGATAAGTGGAATAGAGTAATCTGGACATTGGATAAATCTGAAAAGAAACGTTGTTAAAGAGATCATGCTCTTCGCAGTTCTTTCCTTTGTTTTTAATTGATGGCTGACGTTTAAATTAGAAGGGTTACATAAAACTGATGCAGTCTAATCAAAATGTATCTATTTGATTTTATCAACAAATATGCCCTTTGCTGAGCATGTACCTGTTTCTCCAGTCTGCTAGGTTGAGCTGTCGTGATGAGTGATCACACTGATGTCAGCCTGCTGCCAGAAGAGCGAGTTCGCATTCTGACCAAGAAGGGAAGCTCGGTGGAAATCAATGACGACATGCCACCGCGCCGCTACTTCCGCTCAGGCATGGAGATGATCCGCATGGCAAACATCTACTCAGATGAAGGCAACATCGAGCACGCCTTCCTTCTTTACAATAAATATATCACGTGAGTTTATATTTATGTCTCTGTTGCCAGTTCCAGCAGAGTGTGGGGTGCAAAATAAGTGTGTGTTTTTGTTTTTTTGTTTTTAGAAAACCATAGAAAAATTTAAAATGATAAATGGGTGAAACAAGTAAGACAATTTACCCTGCCAAATTCACAAGATTTGTCTTAATTTCCCGAAAAAGAGCAGTTCCATTGGCCTGACGAGAGGGATGTCCATTCCCCCAAAGATATGACTGTATTTAATGTTGATTCCTTTTGTTAAGGCTCTTTATTGAAAAACTTCCCAAGCATCGGGATTACAAGACCACCAACATTCCTGAAAAGAAGGACACTCTAAAGGTGCTCAGACTGTTTTTTTCGTATTTTTCAAGACAGTTCTAGTCCCAACTTAACATCTCATTCTGGCTCTTCAACAGAAACTGAAGGATGTTGCATTTCCTCAAGCAGAGATTCTGAAAAAAGCACTTTTAAGAAGATTTGAGCAAGAGTATTCCGAGTATCTTGTCAAAAAGGTAAACTAAAACATTGTTTTGTGCATGCAGAATCACAAAGTTTGTGTCCTCATCACATGTTTGATTTGTAATGTGCAAATAGAAACAAGTTAGAAATGTTAGGGGAATTTCAAAGAATGAAACTGATATCAAAATACATTAAAATATTGGTTGTAATTTTTATCTGTATACTGTATTTTCTGAAACATGAACCAGTATCATACTACTACTACATAGCTCACATGCTGCAACAAAGCTCCACTCAGCTTTTGAGCGATTTGTTTTTTGCATCTTCAGAAATCCGAGGATGAGGCCTTAGCACAGGAGCAGTCCAAGAAGCGTGCTCTGGACGCTGAACGGGAGCGGGTAGCTGACATGCAGCGGCGGCAACGGGAACAGGAGCAATTTAGTGCCTTCGAAGAGATGATCCGACGCCAGGAGCTTGAGAAGGAACGGCAGCGAGTTGTCCAGGAGTTCGCCACACCGGTCCCACCTTCGCCTGATACACCCCTCATACCGGGCATCCAGGGCCCCCCACTGGTCTCTCCCACCCTGCCACAGAGCCCCGGGGACAACAACCATCAGTATAACCGCTCCCCTTCAACCATCGGCACGCCTTCGATGGGCCCACCAACTTTCGACCGCTCGCTCAAGCCAGGGACTCTAGTCAGTCCAGGGAACAACAGTGAGTTGTTGTTTTTTCCTTCATTTTTTTACATAATGGGCCAGGCCTCAAAGGAATTAAAGCCTCTCCTGCTCCTGAAGTATTTATTCTGAGCTGATTTATTTCCTCCTGACCTACTTAATTTCCTATTCACTCCATACCTTGTTTCATAGCTTAACGAAGACCTAACTTTTCCACTCAGCTCCTGTTTGCTCCTTTACATGCTTATTTTACAGATACAATGATGGATGCACTTCGGCAGTTAAGTGTTCCTGCTGAGCTATGCCGGAGCTTTCTGAGGCTGGCTGAAGCCAACACAAGTCGAGCTGTAGAAACTTGTGGCATCCTGTGTGGGAAACTGGTAAGAATCTGGACCAGAATGCCCCTCTGAAAAGATTAATCCCATGAAACCCAAAAATGAGACGGCAGTAAAATGTTTTTCATCATCCCAATGATGAAAAGTTTTATTCATCAATTAAACTATGTTGATATTCTCATTTATAAGCTTGAGACTTGGATAAATGCAAATATTTAGATTTTAAACTAGGCTCGTCTGGTTCAGATAGTTAAAATACCTGCTCTCCTTGACTTAGATTTGCTTCAGTAAACTTAAAGCTCCCCTCACATGACCCAGCTCCTGGACCTGAGCTGTCAGTTTTCATTTATTTTTGGTTGTAAAAGTGTCCTTGTTTGGCATTTTGACTGACGGTGTACAATGCATTATTTAAAAGTGTGATAGGACGATGCTTTCTTCCTTTGTTCCAGACCAGAAATGCGTTTACTGTGACCCACGTGATTGTCCCAAAGCAGTGTGGTGGACCTGACTATTGTGACACAGAAAACGAGGAAGAACTCTTTCTCATACAGGACCAGTATGACCTCATCACCCTGGGCTGGATACACGTAAGTAATAGACGAGCAGTCTAAGGAGATATAGTAAGGGAAACAGGACTTCTTCTTTTATCTTGAAAAAATTTCACCCATCAACCCAAAAGGTTTCTTCAGTTCTAAGCTAAATGTTGGAGAGTATACTGATTCTCAACAACATGAAGAGGAATGGAGCAAATTGTATACTCTGAATAAATCGTTTTGATATGAAATATAAATTTTTAGATGAACAAGACGGTTCAGATTTCAGTTTTTTGATCAACATGTTTCAGCGAACATTTTATCTAAACAGGTGGTGTGATCCCCTATCAACCCACTAATGAATGAATGACATTTTTTGGGTTTCCTTCTGGCATCTTGTCAGAACAAACGTGTTTGTGATGAGTGTTTTAAGCCTGTAAAAATGTTTAAAAAACAACTACTTTTTTTTTTTTACCCTGTGGTCACACAGTTACTGTTTTTTGCTACAACAAAGGGTTTCATTTTCTGCCTTGTTTTCCTTTTAAGGAAATGTGATTTTCAAAAATGTCACCCTGCCAACAAAAAAAGTCAGCAATTATACTTAGCTAGGTGTAACAATGTGTGTCCAGCATTGACAGAAAATAGGCCTTTCGCATAAATTGAAAATCTTGTGCTTATTGTTCAGATATATCTGACTTATACAAACAAAAGATTTCAGGACTTTATCATTTTCACACATGGATTCAGACTATCAGTTCAGACATTTATCCTACTCGGAATCTCTTTTTTCTATTACCGTATTAGTTCATTCAGTCATGTAGGTTTCCAGGCTCAGACAGTGGGGGTGTGACCCAGTAGACCTGAGCTGAGTGTGCTTTAAATCCATTTTGCGCTATGTTGCCAGAATTCTATAGCTTAATATGGCATTTTTGCACAATTGCTCATGGTATAAAAAAGGTGTAGTCATTGCATCAGAAATGTGAAAATAGAATATTTCAACTGATGCAAGTGCACAGCTACTTATTTGTTCTCTGACAGTTACTGTGTCTTCCAGACTCACCCCACACAGACAGCATTCCTGTCCAGCGTCGATCTCCACACACATTGCTCCTACCAGATTATGCTGCCTGAGGCCATCGCTATCGTTTGCTCTCCTAAGTTTAATGAGTGAGTTATAAAACAACAAATATCCTGTTACTTGGACACTTACCTATGCTGATTTTGTCAGTAGATATCTGGGGTATTTTCACAGGTATTAACACTCTGTTTGATTGTGTTTCTTCAGAATTGGCTACTTCAGGTTGACAGATAGAGGAACGGATGAGATTTCTACATGTAAACAGAAAGGTTTCCACCCACACAGCAAAGATCCCCCTCTATTTACAGTGAGTAGAGCAATACAACATCTTAATGATCACTAAGATGACAATTATTTTCCCCCTATAGAAAACTTTCAAACCCTGTTCATTTTTCTACATCTTGTTGTATTTCACATTTACATATTGGGTATTTTCAACCAAAATCACACTGTACTCCCCAAAGATTTGTGATATAGATTTAAAATATCATTTCTAATTATATTCATATTTGAAATAGTAAATAAGTGAAGTACATCTTTATCAAACTGAATTGATTTTATAATGGGAATTAGATAGTGGAACTGTTAATTGCTTCTTTTAGAAATAAAAACAAAAAAATCTGTTTTTTGAGGGATTTGTCCATAAAGCTACAAGTAAAGATTATGCTTGGTCACAGACTTGGTAGACAATGCGTTGTCTGCACCATTTAAAGTGATAGAAAGCACATTTTTGTGAAATGGAGGATGTCTAGAAACCTACAGCAGACATCCTCAGTCTGCAAGGTAAGGGATCAGACAAATAACAAAGACGCTAAGCATAACTATAAATGAGAGGCAGTTTCTCAACAAAAAAGGGGAAACCTAATAAAAGGATAACTATTGGTCTTTTGTTACAGCAGTCTGGCTTGTATTGGGAGGAAGCCATATGGAAGTAGTTGCTGACATATAAAATTCTTCTAACATTCTGCTTTTTTAAATTAAATAACTTTACTATACTTAAATATGGCTTTTAGACCCAACTCAGTACTGAAATTCATTATTTCATGAAGACAGTAGCCTCATGAAAACAACTAATAACTTCAGAAAAACTGTAAAAGGACTGGGTTGAACCCAACAGAATATCAAGTGATACTATCCATTAAAACAGGGAGAGCTTTACGGATTGACCAAGGTGAAATATCACTCTTAGTTCAAGTTGAGGATGGTGTTATGTGAAAGCTTTGCTAGCCAAAATGAACTTCTGTAGTTATTGTATAAATAGGATATATAGCATAAAATACTTTCCCTTTGTTGTTTTTTTTAGACAGTGTATGACTAAAATGTGGTTCTCCTTCTCAGCACGCGGCACACATCACCATCACTAGTGACACAGTCTCCATGATGGATCTGCGGTGATCATTTCCTGCTTTTCACCAGAACACTCACAGACTGATCGAATGGCATACGTTCTACAGAAGAAAACACCTGTTTTATTTTCAGGATGGTACCAAGAAAATAGCTGCACCAAGTTTACCCTTTACATGGACTTCAGCTTTTATCAAAAGGAACAAAACTGGAAATATTTTTGTTTGTTTTTTTTGGCCTGCAAGAAAAATAAAATTTACATATCACTGTACTTTCCAAGCAACAACTACCCCCCACTTAACAGACTGGCAACCCCCATGTTTTATCCTTCTTTTCCCCTTCCTGTTCAATGTCTTTTCTTTTGAAATGTAGATTTGTCAGTGACATCTAAGCGTCTGGTAGCCTGATATGTCGTAGAAAACGGTCAAAGTTTGGTTCTGCCCGACAGATAAAGTGCCAAGGATGTAAACGTTTACTTTTTTCATTTTTCATAGAGCATTATGAAGTCCAGTGTGAAGCCCAGAGTTTGTGTTGACATCTTTATTCTTTAGTTTCCTTTGTTTTCTTTTGACATGCTATGAGTGGTGAATTGCAAGCCAACAGTAACTCAGGTATGCAGGTAGTGCTGCTTTTTCTGCCAGTATTTTTTTCTTTTTTTTATACATATGTATCCCTCTAGAGTGCCCTTTATTAACTGTATGAAGAGCTTTCTTTGAAATGTAAGCCCTGCTAATGATAAAACCCAATTTTAACACTTTTATCCCTTTTGTCTTATGGAAGGCAGAGTTTGGTAAATCCTGTACAGTGTGTCCAACTTTCATAGGACATGTGCAACAGGCAGGCTGAATGTACTTTATGCTACATATTATTACTCTTTACTAAACACCTGGTCAGGGGCAATGCATCTTGAGATTTTATTTTGTTTTTTTCGATCCCTTCTGTTATTACAAGAATTAAATGTTTAGCCAAAATGATCCATTGAACACCAAAACAAAAATAAACATATTGGTGAATTAACTCTTCTTTTTTAGTTACATTTGTCTAGTGTGACAAGGATATATGCAAATATAAATGGGAAAGAACAGTAATACTTTAATTTGTATTTCATTACAGATTTATGTTTCTGAAAGGATAAAATTGGTATCACCTGAGGGTTTAACGGTTTACCAGAGGAAAAAAGAGTAAAACTGGGGTGAAAGGGGAAAAAAGCATTAAAAAAAAGGTTATTTTGCAATAACTTTATTTCAGCGGATAAGATACTTCATTAATCCCTAATCGGAAATCGCTTTTCTACCAGACAGCACAACCACAATAGATCATTCTTTCAGAACAGTTTTTTAAAACACTATGATGCAGGTGATGGGGCGGATGAGGGCTTTGCTCTAGGCCTTTGCATGGCCACCCACCCCGCTGTTTTAAATACTTAATAGACATGGAGGACCTTTGGCCTCAAGGGATAGAGTTGTCCTCAATGCACTTCTATCATGGAGCCAGAGGGAAGGGGTCTCCCATGGCTCCTGTTGCCTGGGGGCTGCCTGGTTCCTGGGGGTCCTGGAGTGCCTCTGCTGGTCCCGGTTCTGCAGTGGGGGGACGTTGCTGACCCTGGGGGTGCTCACCACGCTACACCCATGGGGCGAATATACATATTTTTTTGTGATGTATCCTTTTCTTTCATTTAACTATTATTATCATCATTACTTTTTTAAAAATTCTTTATATATTTTGTGTGAGAGTTTGCATGAGAGAGTGAGTGTGTACGTGTGTGTGCGAGTGTGTGTGTGTGTGTGTGCATGGGTCTGATTGGAGTGACTGTGGCTTTGTTTGGGTCTGGTTTTGGGTCTGCTGTCATCCGGTCCGCTCATACTGTTCCTGGCAATGGGGTGAGCGCCACCCTGACTTTCCCCACTGCTGCACCGACCAATGGGCACACCTTGGCCCCTGGGGTACTGGGTCAGTGGCATTCGGGGTCTTGCTGGCCCGCTGTTTGTGGCTGCCTGGGGTGCCTGGGTTTGGTGGCGCTCAGGCTCGCAGGGCTTGGGTTACGGTTCTCAGCCGATGTCTGAGGGACGAGGCCTGGTGTGAGCTGGGGTGCTGTCGCTCATGGTTCTTGGGGGGCCTCTCCTCTACGGTTGCGGGGGGTTCTTATTTCGGGCTTCCCTGGTTGCCTTTTGGGCGCATGGCAGGTCTCTATGGTCGTCTTCTTGGGATCTCGCTTGGGGTGGTTGCTGGTGGGCTGGGTCAAGGGGGTACACTCTGCCTTCTTCGGAGTGTTTGAGGGTGGGCTATTCCCGGGGGGCCCTCTGCTCACATAACTGAACACAATCTGGGAATCCTGGGTTTTCGATCACACACACACACACACACACAAAGTTACAGTTACCCAGACACATGCCTCCTTAAGCTACTGTACAGTTGATGCACAGTTCTGAGAAGGTCACTAATGTCCTTGCTACCGGTGTTGTTGCTGACATTGGCTTTTATTGCTTGTTTGTTTTTTTGTTTTGTTTTCCCTGTGTCAATGTGCAGGAGTTTCATCCGAATTGCCAACAAGAAACTGTTTATTTTGTACAGACATAGCAGCTGGTTGTATGGTTTGTTGTCTTTCTTTTTCTGTTTCTCTCTCTGCCTAAAGGATCCTTCTACTTTTCGGCTTTGCTTTCCTTTGCCATTCTTTCTTCCCTGTCCCTCTGTCAGGTTCGGCATTATTGGATACATGTAAAGTTTTGCAACAAAAACAAATAAATAAATGAATAAAGCAGTGTTGGATAATCAAGAGAGGCCTTCCTTGATTATCCCTTGGCCTCCCTTGGCAACGGAAATATGTTCAAGTACATATGGCTGCAGACTGTAGGATGGATATCCAACTCCGCCCATATCCAAATCGACCATTTTGATTACGTCACCCCCCAACTCCGCCCATATCCAACTCGGCCATTTTGATTACGTCACCCCTAGGAAGATCCCATATTACCGACCTGCAGGCAGTTTGGTGCAGTGATTTCCGTTCTGCTGCCATAAAATAAAAAAGATTTCATGTAAGATTTAGTTAGGGGCAGAAAACATTATTATACTTTTTCTGCAGTTTTAACTGATTCGCAATGAAAACTAAAAAAACTGACGTTTTACTATTCTTTCACAGCGTATTTGCTCTTAGTAAAAACGTATACATGCATACTTAATATGTAGTCTTCCAATAGGTGGCAGCAGTGTCGATTTCACAACTACACAAAGGCCACGAATAAAAACACAGACAAGGAGTCAAGTATATCTAAAAAGAAAATGGAACTCCGCAAGGAAGTATTATAAGTCCTTTATTGTTCTTAATTATGATAAATGATGTGTTTAATGGTATTGGAAAAGAAATAGGATGTTCATTATTTGCAGATGATGGAGCGGTCTGGAAAAGAGGGAAAAATATAGATCATATTGTAAAGAAAGTACAAAAGGTTATCATTGAAATAGAAAAATGGGCGTTACAATGGGGATTCAAGTTTTCAGTTGAAAAAACAAAAGTAATGATATTCACAAAAAGAATAAACAAGGAAATAAAATTAAAATTATATAATCAAAAACTAGAACAAGTAAAATCTATAAAATTTTTAGGAATATGGTTTGATGAAAAACTAAAATGGATTATACATATTCAAAAAGTGGTTGATAAGTGTAAGAAAATCTTAAATATTTTAAGATGCTTGGCTGGCAGTGATTGGGGAGCAGATAGAAAATCAATGAAGCAGATTTATAATGGAATGATAAGATCTAACATAGACTTTGGGTGCATAGTTTACGGTTCAGCAGCTAAAATACATCTGAATAAATTAGACATAATACAACATCAGGCATTAAGAGTATGTACTGGAGCCTTTAAAACCACACCAACAGCTGCAATATAAGTAGAAATGGGAGAAATGCCATTAAACTTAAGAAGAACAAAACTAGAAATAAATTACTGGTTAAATTTACAAAGCAATAAAATTGATCATCCAACTCGGGAAATTTTAGAGCCATGTTGGGAAAAAGAAAAGAAAGAAATGAGGAGTTTTGGATGGAATATTGGAAATAAAATAAAAGAATTCAAGATTGATCATTTAGAAATAAGTCAAACACCAATGTCAATAATACCGCCATGGATTTTACCAGAAGCAAATGTAGACATGTCAATAATAGAAAAGAAACAAGATAAATCATACACGGTAGATAGATATTCAGTACAGATACATATAAACAAATATTATAAATATATTAAAATTTATACAGATGCGTCAAAAATAAATGGGAAGATAGGAGTAGCTTTTGTGGTGCCAGAATTCGATGTAAAAATAGGAAAAAAGGAGCACAGATGGGTTATCAGTATGCACATGAGAAATGATGGCAATATTATTAGCATTGCAATGGGTGGAAGAAATAAAACCATTAAAGACAGTGATATGTTCAGATTCAAGCTCAGCATTATTAAGTTTAAAAAAAATTCAATCAGAGAGTAGGATGGATATATTATTAGAAATATTTTATACATTGTATAGAATACAGAATATGGGGCTGGTAGTTATATTTGTATGGATTCCAGCGCATATAGGGATAGAAGGAAATGAGAGGGCAGATAAAATGGCAAAAAGGGCAATTCATAATAATATTAGTCTTAAAGTTAAAACAAGTAAAGCTGAGGGAAAGAGTATTGTCAAAGAAAAACTGATGGAAAAATGGCAAAAAAGGTGGGATGATGAAAAACAGGAAGATGGTTTTATAAAATACAGAAGATAGTAGGAGAGAAAAGAAATGAAAGAAGAAATAGAAAGGAGGGAAGGGTAATAACAAGATTAAGATTAGGGCATACAGGTCTTAATTATACACTTTTTAAAATACAAAAGCATAATAATGGAAAGTGTGATTATTGTGATAGATATGAAACGATAGAACATTTTATGTTGCCATAAGTATGAAAGAGAGGGAAGGTGTATGAAAGGAGAGTTTGAATGTATTAAGGAAAAGATACATTTTATAGATATTTTTAGGAAGAATTCGGGGAGTAAGCATGTACATGTATTATGGGATATTTAAAGAAAACTAAATTATTTCAAAGAATATGATTAAAATAGGTGTGTGTGTGAATGGGTGAATGATCTAGGGGGGTGGTCCATATTGAACCACACTCCATACCAGCAGGTGGCGGTTATGCTGCTAAAAGCTTGTTGCAAACCGCCAATAAAAATCAAGACGAAGAAGAAGAAGAAGTATATCTAAAAGATCGAGTGCATTGTCTTGACGTTTTTATTTCTGCCAGTACCCCATCAAACCTTGATCAAAGATAAAAATGGGAAAGCGACAGCACCAAAAAGACAAAATGTAAGTGTTGAAGTTACGGAATCTTTGTAACGTCAGTATGTTGCTTCTTTAGCTACCATTAGCTCTGAACAAGCTAGCTAGCCAACAGTTTGTTTTTGGTCTATTGGTGCTTTTTCTTTATTATTTTTCTCGTTTTTCACTCGATATTCTATCCTTTTTTAGGTACATCACATGTACAGAATACACTAATTTCTATGGAGGGAAGCGAGCAGGTAAGTTTACGTTTTTAAAATCGTTGTGTTTCCAACATTTATTTTCGTAATAGTTTTTCTTGTTTGTTGCAGTCATTTTGCCAGCCAACTTGGCTTATACATTTTTGCATAACCAAAAAGTTGGTTATGCGCATAAAAACTGCGTTTGCTTCATGAAGATTAATGCTGATGTTAGTCACTGGAGAATTTTTTTACACATTAAATACATATCTTGATATACAATTAGCCTGTCCATCCGTATCAAGATAACTTGATTAACTGTCTCAGTAAATTTGTGTGCCAGATACATCTTCTGTTATTTATTTACCTATTTTAGAATGGAAATAGAAGTTTTTCTAGTTTGGAAAAAGTGTATTATTGTAAGAAATATTACTAGATTTTAATTTCTTTATTTCAGGTTAGCAAAATAAACATCATATGATACTTGCTAACTTTATGCAGCTCTATATCGGTACAATTTGCATTACAAAAGGCAGTTGATGTTAAGTTCTTACTGTAATTGTCACTTCCAGAAATCCCTAAAGCAAACTTCAGACGTCTTCCATTTGACCACTGCAGGTAAGAAAATATTGGATATTGGATGCAAATGTGATCCACTGTCATGTTAAAAGCTGTTTTTTTGTGGTAGATGAGAAATAAGAGGCCAAACTTCAGGCTCATATGTTGCTTTTGTGTCGTCAACTCTATTTGACTTGCATTGAAAGCTTTTTTCCTATTCATTTCAGCTTGTCCCTTCAGCCATTTGAATATCCCGTTTGCACTGCAGAGGGAGTCATATTTGATTTGCTGTGAGTAAAAGGATGAAAAAATCTAAACTAAAATTGTACTCAAATCTCACTAAATGTTCAAAGCATTGTTGAACCACAGATTTGCTTATCTATTTTATCATAAACAACAGTCAAATTGAAACATTAGTTATCATTAGTCATCATTGATATATTGTGTTTGCATTAAAGAAAAAACACTGGCGCAAAACTTTGGTCCTCGAAATATGCTGTGCTCCATGTTTCGGATGGTTCCCTGGTTCATCACCCTTGTCTTAAATTAATATAGCGTTGGTAGAGTTGAAATAAACCTTTTGAAAAGAATAATTAAATCTAAACGAGGTGTATTTAAGCAGGGGTAACCTCAAAACCTGTAGCACAGCAACCCATAAGATCAGAACTTAGATCCCCATTGTATGTATTGTAAAAAACTTAATTTGGTCACATCATAGAATTTCTTATGAATTATAGGAGAGTGAATGAGTGTTTATTGTAAAGAAAATTTTATTGCATGTTTGCATTTGACCAAAATTAATTGAGTCTCTTTTGCCTTGTGCATTAGGAGCATTGTTCCATGGATTAAGAAGTTTGGAACCAACCCGGCCTCGGGAGAAGTAAGAACACACTCACACATGTTAACGGAGCCTGCACATTTCTTATACCATGTTCATCATCTTTGTGTATGTCTTTGTTTAAAACTGGTGTAACTTTTTTAGGATTTAGGTTTTGCAGCTCTTTTGAAAATTTCTTTAGGTCTACAGAGCTTCTGCCCGGTCCAAATTTGAGATGCTCAGTGGCAATAATTGTTATGTGAACTTTTAATCAGTCACATTAAGACTGCAGTCATTTTGTCTTATCCATTATTGGTACTTGGAAATGTATATTTCCCTAATGGAAAAGCCATGGCACTGAATGGAATTTTTCTTCCCAAAATGCTTTCATACAAGCTTACTAAACTGTCCTCCATGTTTTACTGTTGTTATGTGTTCTTTAATTTGTGCTTTTATCTGATTTCAAAGTAAACACAAGACACTTGTGCTACAAACAACGGACCAGACTCAGTGAATATTTACTAAACTCGACATTTAAACTATGATTCTTATATAGACCAGATAGCAGTGCTGACCCACATGTCATTGGGGTCATCAGATGGGAACCAATTTTCATCAGTGTTTCCTGTAGTTGGGGCCACGACACCTCCAGGTTGCTAGACAGTGATCACCTGTGTCCCAGAGTCACTCCCTAAATGCCATCCATCCCTGCTCCTTACACCACAACAGCTATGTCTTCAACCACCAAAAGTCAAAGAAAAACCACTCATACTAGCTACCCAGACCTCTATTAAACTGCACCAGTAAAAGCAAAGAGGTTGGGTATGCTAACCCTGGTTTGGTTAGGGGGTAATGGAAGTATAAAGGGTGCAGAAGGTGGAATCAGGACAAGACACACTAGCAGACTCGGCGAACAAACTTTCCTGAACAACAGACAAAACGCCTAAACGCCAACTAAACTCAACTAAAGGCAGTTTTTTTGTTTTGTTTTTTTAAACCTATTTTCAGGATTTCCTTTTTCTTCCTTTTTCTTTTAGCTGCGTCCAATGAGGTTTGGTGAACCTGGAGTGTGTTAATGGCCACGATGATGATAATGATAATACCAGCTTTTGGATACAACAACATGCTTCTAGATTGCTTCATAGACTTATTTTAACCATGCTTAACATTTTTATTATTTTATTTTTTCTAATCCAACATCTTTGTGTTCTTGCGTGTGTTCAAGATTATTTCAGGGATTGGGGATATTGTTAATCCCTGATAACAATATATTATCAGGGATTAAAAGTCATAGAAGATCTTGATGTAAAGCATGATTTTGTAGGGTTTGGGAACATGTGGAACTTTGACAGTCTTTCTTCTTTCTCACAGAAACTGGAAGCAAAGTCCCTCATTAAACTCAACTTTGCCAAGAACAATGATGGTAAATACAAATTTTTTAATTTGTCTAACTACAACAGCCTTGAAAACACAGTGTTAAAAATTGAAGCTGCTACTTAGATGAAATAGCCTTGTCAAATCTGGAACTCGGTTAATGATTATATAGAGAAAAGGGCAACACCTCCCTGGATCCACTGCTGCACAACATAAAAGCAGCTTGAAAATGAACAAATTTGACAGTCAGTGGTAAAATCCTATTTGGCAAAGTGCATAAGAACAAAGTAAAGTTATTGGTGAAGAAGGATGTGTGACTAGAGTGAATTTCTGGACTTCTTTGGCAGGTATGTTTTCAAGGATTGAAAGCAACTCTTGACCTCAGAATATTGCTTATTATTTTTTTGTTTTGTTTAATTTCATCCTAGGAAAGCATCACTGTCCTGTTCTGTACAACGTTTTCACAAACAATTCCCACATCGTCGCCAACAAGGTCACCGGAAACGTGTTTTCTTATGAGGTTGGTTTACTCACTCTGATTCTGGCCTGATCTTCATGCATTTACTTGTGACCTTACTTGTAATTCAGATTGATTTTTAAAACCATTTAGATAGAAATGCATACGGAGGTCATTTGAAGCTGGTTTCACCGTGAAACTATGCTAACCACATAATTTTGCTTACTTTTTAAAAAATCCCAGAGTTAAATAAGGTATATAAGGCTTTTTTTTTCATGGAAACAGTGCTTTGTATGATGTGAAGTTCCAAACATTTTTTAGATCATCATTCTATATAAATCAGTTATTTGTTTTTTTACAGACTACTATTATAATAATAATATCATATTAAGGCAATTCTCCCTTCCACCTGTTTTCCAAGCTGTTTATTTTCAATAAATTTAAATTGGTTATGTACTGCCCTGTCACAACAAATGTCATTTTAGGCGTTTGAAGAGTACAACCCAATTCAAGCCAATTATAATCCAAATAATTGTAATACAATCAAAATCCAATCAGTTTAAGTTAACTAAATATATATCCAAACATATCAATTCATTCATGATGCAGCTCTGTCAAAGAGAGCTTTAAAATGTGAGGAGCACAACTGTCATTTATGTGATAAATGTAACATGGTTTCATTAAGAGAATCCAAAACAGGAGAAATGTGATCATTTTCCAATTTTCATGAGGGCTCTGGGTGCAGCATTTTGCTGGTGGCATTTTAGAGATGATTTTTTTTTTGTTACTGCCCAATCATAAAAAGTTACAGTTGTCAATTTAAAGTAATAAATTAATGTACTAGGCTTGTCCAAATCCGATATTTGAATCAGATCGACCGCCAATATTTGCAAAAAACTGCGTATCGGCCGGCATGATGCCGATCCAGGCTGCCTCGACCAGGTGGGGTTAGAGCGGCTAGGAGAGAGTTATAACAAACACCGTAACAGAAACATAAGTTTATGGTAACAATTATGTCTCATGTACTTGAAAAAAAGAGGCAAAAAAAGAGAAACAGTTTGAGGAGAGCTCCATTATTGGAACTCACCAGCAGTCTGGGCCTATAGCAGCAACACTATGACCTGTTTTCAGTGTCACTTCAGGTATCTTCAACTATATACTTTATCAAATCGGATCGGCCGCCGATATTCGCAGAAAACTGTGTTTCGGCCGGCATAATGCCGATCCAGACTGCCGATCCAGTTTTTTTTTTAAAGTCCGATCCCACACGAGCAGTAGCATCTCCTAACCCACAGGTCTGTGTGCAAACCATTAAGTTGTCATAAGAGTAAATCCCTGTTCAACATGAGTCTGACAACTAAGTAAGTAGGCTAAATAACTTTAAACTTTAATACATGCTTTAATGGGCCCTTATCGGATCAGAAGTGCAAATACAATATCGGTATTGAATTGGAAGTGAATAAAGCCGGATCGGGACATGCCTAGCATGTACTAGAGTTTCTGTATCAATCTGTGACAGGCTGTTCCTAATTTTAGAGCTATTTGCAAAGATGATATAATTTCATATGCGACTCAAATGACGCATTGTAAAAAATAAATAAAAAAAAATCCAATATTTTCCAAATAAATGAGAAGAAATTAAGATAAATGTTGATATTCATATATATTTATTTGTTTTTGTTTTTTTCTTCCGTTTCCTCGCAGGCTGTCGAGCAACTCAATATCAAGACCAAGAGTTTTAAAGACCTTCTGACTGATGAGCCTTTTACCAGACAGGATATTATAACTCTTCAGGTGATTAGCTTCCTATACTTGTTAGTGGTGTAAAGTTCTTAAGCACACATTTCAGGGAGTTGGTTATTCACAATGATTGTTTCCTCTGTTTTGGGCTCCAAAGGACCCCACAAAGTTGGAAAAATTCAATGTGTCCAGCTTTTTCCACATTAAGAACAACTTGAAAGTACTGGATCCGGGTGAGTAATCTGAGAGTTATCTTTGTGACAAGACATATGGGATTTTTATTTTATTTTAATCTAATGAAAGTGTGAAATCCTTGGGGAGTGTCAAATCCTTAGTTAAGACTGCACCTTTCTCGCCCTGACTTTAGATGAGGAAAAGGCCAAGCTGGATCCAGCATATCACTTGAAGACCACAAACCTTGAGACTAGGGAAACCTTAGCTGAGCTTTACAAAGACTACAAGGGGGATCAGCTCCTGGCTTCCACCATGAAGGAACCAGAGGCCAAGAAGACAGACAAATTAAATGCTGTAAGTGGAAACCAACATTGGTAAAATCAGACCTGCTTTGAAAACCAAGACAAAACTTGTTTAAGGTACCAAACATTTCAGAGGTTCACTAGTTCCTGATGTTATTCCGAAGACAGGTGGTCGGCGGATGATTTGGATCCCAGGATGGTCTTAGATAGGAGCTGGTAATCATACCACATGGTGTGGAGGCTTTTTAACTACTAAATGAAGATTTTTTATAATTGGCTCAAATTCAACTGAAATGAGAGCTGGTCAATAACTGTAATGTTTGCTTCGTACACATGAGGGAGCCAAACGATTAACAACACGCTGATATGAGACTGTACAACAAGACAAACACCTACGTTCAGAAACAGAAAAATTATATTCATAGTCATTTGAGAATGAGAAAGAACTCTTAGTTTTTTTGTTTTAAGTAAGTCTCAAATAAAATGACGGTAAAACTATCCTATAGCATGTGTTAAGACTAACTAATTTGTATGGTATTCATACTTTTATAACATTGTTATACATATGCTATGAAGGGGAGCAGATATGGACACAATTATGTGTAGCACAATTTAATTTAAATCTACTTGGGTAATTTTAGCACCATACTTCATTTCATCTCTTCTATTTGTCAGGATTGGTATTTTTTCTCTTGTTGTCTTGGTGTTCTCTGTGTGGAGTTCCTAGCCGAAGTGATGGTCTGACAGCTTCTGAGAAATCACTGAATATAGGTCAGACAGAGCAAACAAGGTGAAGTCTGAATGATAACCCATCACTGTAGGTTGGACCTTCAGCATTTGAGATTCCATTTTCTCCTTTAATCTTCACTGAATTATTCCATTGACTTAAGCTGTCCATCCAGGCTTAAAGCATCATTTATTCAGCTCATGTGTTATGCTGTGATTTAAGATAAAACAAAGAACCAACAATGCTCCCTTTTAATAAGATGGAAAAAAGCTGGAAATTATGTCTTTAATTATCCAGCCTGGCATCAAGCTAGTTTATGCTTGAAAAGCCATAACACTAGATTCCTAGAGTCACTGGATCAGAAAAAACTATTAGGTATTGTTGTCTGGCTTGTTGTCTGCTGATAAAAGAACATCATGTGTCTTTTTTTATGTGCAGAAAGTGTGATGTAAACAGCTGATCCTAATCTTATCTTGAATATTTTACATCTGCACTAAACATGTATGAGTATAAGCAGTCAGTAATATTACTAATAGCTTTCGATTTAGAAAAAATACTTTACACTCACTATTTGGCATTTTTGCATGACCTGATTACATTTTTCTAATGAATATGAATCGTCATCTATCCATAGAATCATTTTTCACATGGCATCTTTAGCATTTGATACTTTACACCCCTTCTTGCTGCTTAAGCTATTTTTTTACATTATCCACCCTATTGCGCACTATAGTGACTTGGCCATATAATTGGACCACCATCTATGCCCCTTTATGGAAACTAAATAACCAAATTGTTGACCCTCAAAGTATGTTCAAACTTTCAAGACAACCTCTAAAATATTATTATTCTATTATTCTATTATTCTAGCTTTATTGATATCCACTTTACTATTTTGTTAAGAGATGGAACTTTGGAACTGAACTAGACTCTCTTAGGTCTCTTAGTTTAGAAAATACATGCTTGATGGATATTGTTAAGCACAAACATGTATTAGCCATGGTTTTAAAAGGTCAGTTTTGTTAGGATTATCATGTTCATATGCATTTCAAATATATGGTTTTAGTCTGACAAATACAATTTAGGATAGTAACTGATGGGACATGTCAAAAAGATTTATATGATAACTTTGAAGGTGCTATGAACGAAGACTCACAAAGACCATTTTATTGGGTCATTATTTATTAGGAAAAATAAATACTAAGTAACATTCCCCACAAGAATTGTTTTCTTCTTTTCGTTTTCTCCTCAACGCAGGCACATTACTCAACTGGCAGAGTTTCTGCCTCATTCACATCCACAGCCATGACTCCTGCAACAACACACGAAGCAGGCAAGTGAACACCATATACCACTTCAGATTCACAATGGAAATTATGTTCATTTCTTCAAATTTGTGTTCTCTCTGTTCCTTTAGCATTCACTGGGATTACTTTTTTTGTTGCAAATTGCTGCTTCATGCTCATGCAGCTAAAAAGCAACTGCAAGTGAGAACTGGTCATTTTGTGTTTCCTTCTCTTGTCAGCTCCTTCACTGCTCCATAAGAAAGATTCACAGTTATGCAACAGTATTGTGGGTTCAGTTCCAGAGGACGGAGTCAGATTTTTGTGAATAAAAATGCAGTCTAGGATCATCAAAGGAACATAGAACACAGAGAAATTGCAGCCAGAAAAATATTAAATTGTGCATGAAGTGTCATGTATAATTTAGATTTTAAAATAACAGCCTGTACCCCAAAGGTGTTGACGATTTTTAACAGCTTGGTGATGTTTCCTGCACCATTAATAACCTAAGAGGCAATCACATTTTTATTAGATTGAATTTGAAAAAAAAAAAAAAAAAATTTCCAAATTTCCCAGCCATTATTTTAACATCTTTATGCAGTGTGCAACTTAAAAAGAGAAACCACTTACATTTTTTAGAACTGTATAATTGCCAAATGATGGACACGGTAAAACACTGCACAATAACAGTATTTATTTATATAATCTAAAAGAAAAGCCTTTCCTTCACTTTCTGAAAAACACTGCTGAGTCAAACAACCTATGGCCAGCCAGACCTGATGTATTCTATGTTTTTATAAGTACCTTCAATATGAACCTCCTTGCTTGATGTAAATTATATTACTCTAAATGATTAACTTCATGGCCCTGATGTAAAGGATGTACAGGATGAAGGTAGAGGAACAGTGATACAATAGCGGTAGAGATATGAAATGATTAATCCATATATATTCATCTTTCAATAATTTGTTAAAAATCCTAAGCACACTATCAAAATTACACGCTAACCAATTGCGCCACAGACATTTAACAAATAAGTGGCGTGTGGAAAATGTAGGTACGGTGAATAAGTGATAACAGGCCATTAAATGCTGTGTGTGTTTATCACAGATTTGGTATAACTGGTGAGAATCAGAGGATATATACCATGTACTTCTTTTCTTAAATTGCATTCTGATATGTAAGATCATCTTTGTTGTATGTAGCTAATATAACTGCTTTTTTATTTTTACAGATGCTATTGCAGATGACACTGTGAGGTACCAGTATGTGAAGAAAAAGGGCTATGTCCGTCTACACACAAACAAGGGAGACTTGAATTTAGAGTTACACTGTGACAAGGTAATCTCAGATACACTTTCACATACAATAAGCATAGAGGCATTAAGGATTAATAGCATAGTTGTAACCTGTGGTATGAGTGGGACATACTTAAGGGATGTAAGTGACTGCAAATTAAGGAAAAGATGGAAACTGACCTTTTTAATGAACTGACTAATCCCTCAAAGCTTTTTCTTGCATAGAAAGAGGAAGCTAGTTTGGAATAATTTTAGGTCTGTTTTGTTACCTACTGCCATTTTTGGCAGAATGTTGTAAAATGGTGGTTATATTTACTTTATCTGAGGCCTGAGGAGGCCTAGTCACAGGTAGTGAAACTACATCATCTTCATAGCTGGATCTCATAGTTGCGATATGGAATGTGGTTTACCAATTGCAGCTTCAAAATCAAAGATTTGTTTTAGTTTGCTTATTATATTTTTTATTTTAAATATCCTCGTATGTATAGTTTAGCCGGTATAGATGAGTAAATAGCATGGAGGTAACTTATCAGGGTTACTGTAATCAGTGGTATGCAATAAAAAAAATTGTATGCCAGCTGGTTAATATTGAAAATGGGCCCCCCTCTATGCCAGTCTGAACTCCATGAACATATTTCTTCCCCGGTAACCAAGAGTGGCCTCTAAGATGTCTAACTTTTATGCCCCACATTATCATCTGCCTCACCTTCCTCCTGGGTGGTTTGTACCAAAGATTGCAGGTCTATTTGTAGCCTGCTGTTTATAAATGAATGAGCATTGCTTCACTGTCACATACACTTAGAGTCATACAGAGCTAAGCCAACCATCCTCAAAACTGCCTGTTTGCTCACCAATCTGTGGAGTTTTCCACTCCTGTCTGCTTTCAACAACTTTGCTTTTGGGGAACTGTTGATGGACAACACAGCCACATTTTGAATCAACAATTATAATATTCTATAGCTGTTTTTAATTACCTTATATTCAATAGAGGATTTGGTACAGCGTATCAGAGTGGCTTCATCCAGTTAGGATGAAAGAGCATTTTTTCTTTTATAGTCTCACATAATTTCTAACATAATTTCTAACCAACAGTGAAAATTATGGTACAGTGAAAAACTGTAACATCAGGTCTAATCTGTCAATATAGTTGATCTAAATACAAATTTTTGTTGAATTTTTGTCTGCATCAGTCTGCATTATTTTCATGCTGACATCACTGCTTCTTAACAATTTGAAAATAAAACCAGTGCAGCTAAGAAAATCTGGTCACACTGCAAAAAGGCACTGTATAGAAATAGGTTTTACAAATGGATTTGGTGGTTCTTGGAAACCAGCATCCACTGTTGCCAAGAATAAAAGAGTGTGTTTCTCTCAAAAACGCACTCATACTGAAACACACATTGACACAAAAGTGTTTCTAAAGACTGTTGAGATTAATAACAGCAGACTCCAGAGCCACACCTCCTCTTCAGAGAGCAAACACTGCCTTATTTCAGGGCGCTGCACAGCTGTAAGTAGCCACTGTATGAATTTTTTTTTTTTTTTTGTAATGTTTTACAAGATGTTCTGGTCTTTATAGCCCGATGCCTATTTTCTTCAATCCAGATATTTTAACTGAGCTTTGCATATAGCCTTGTAACTGTAGAGAGATGTACCTGAGGGTCCCTCATGGAACAGATGGACTCTATTTCATTGCTTTAGCCTTCAAACACTTTTTGTTCCATTTTAATAAATTAGAATTGGTCAAAACTGAGAAATGTCTAAATCTTCCTAAATTATGAACTGATATTGAAATAATAAACCAATGAACATGAAAATACACCTGTTAATTCTTCTTAAATATGTATATTAATTAGTTACATACACACTCAGAAAGCCACAATGCACATGCTATACTGTGTCGACATTTACCTAAATTTAAACTTAAAAAAACAGTGTATGGAGAGCAATAAGTAAGCAGTCAGCAGCCAAATGCGGTGAATTAATGCAAAGATTTACATATTGATGCACTGTAAAAACATCCCAAACTATCTTTTAGAAGCATCTGTCACTGCTTATCAAGTTTGGAATGCTTATAAGCCAGTTTTAGATTATTTCTGGATCATGCAGTGAGAAAAATTTTTTCCCAGCAACTTTGTCGAAAGGACATGCTATTCTCAGAGAAAATGAAATGGAATCCAATAGCTAATTCTCAGCCTGCAGACCTCGGTTAGCATGTCAAAGGGTAAAGTGATTTAAACTTTAATTTAGCAAGAGACCAAATTGGTATGGTTAATTTTTTAATGAAAGCAAGAGAAAGCCTCTCATTGTGGCACTGCTTAGGTTTGTAAAGTTGCATCTGAACTAAACATGGACTCGTGGAGGGTGTTTTGGGTTTCCTTTGTTTGTTTTTTTGACTGTTCAGCAGTTTGTTGTTTTTGCAAGAAAATGTCAGTTTAATTTATATTCTTGTTAAGCTGAAGTCGAATATACTGTAAATCCTCTATAAACTTTCTCAAAAATGTTATGCTTCTGATAAGAGTTATGACAATATGTGGCATATTTTTTGTTTGTATTTTTGTTTTTGTTCATTTTTTTACAATGATGGTTAGATAGACTTTTACCTTCATTCATGTTTTCTTAATCAGCATGTTCTTTTCTCTAGGTTCCCAAAGCGGGAGAGAATTTTATAGGTCTGTGTAAAAAAGGCTACTATGACGGGACCAATTTCCACAGGTCCATCCGGAACTTTATGGTAAGAAATATGACTATCACATTTTAGGACACAATGTACGTTCTTTTTATTCCTCTGGATAGCACATGTTCAAAGGAATGTGACATCTGCATCTACGCTATCTATAAAACATGGAAACAGTCAAGGTGCAAAAAGGAAGCTGAAAGTGGGTTAACCTCAAGAGTAGATGATGGGGTTCTGTGCTTTGCTTGAGAGAATTTCAGCTGTCCATAATGATGAATCAAGACAGCACTGATTATTAACTGCCTTACCCACACCACGTCCATCTCCGGCTTCAAGGCAGCTGCAGTTCTTCTCTTCAGTGTCACTGACATTCACAGTCACGAACACCAAAATATTGAAAATGCACAGGCTGAAAAATGAGGAGACAAAAGATAATGGAAGTTAGATTCACAGTAGCAGCAACTCTTTCCAGGTTCTTTGCTAAAAATGAATTTTGATTTAGAAGATAACAGATGGTTATGTTTCAGAAGTTTATGTCAACCTGTTTTACTTATTTAGATTTTATAATCTGATATCAGCAGTTCGTGTTGTACTCTAAAAAGAATAAAGGCATTGATCTTCCACCTAAACTAATTGTCTTTAACCAAAAATGTAAGCACATTAACAACCACTCTTTAATTTACTATTTGCCGTTGTCCAAGTTCATAGCTCATAGTTTCCGTTGTTTGATTAAATAAGGTAATTTAGCAATCCTGATTGGTTAACATAGCATTTTATTCAAATCCATTCTGCAACCAAAGCTCTTAAAATGGAAACTCAGAATTATAGATGAAAGGTTTCTGATGAGCTGCTCATCTATGTATTTCAGAGCTGCGGCTGACATAATTAAAGTGGCTCTAATCTAGTGTCCTGGTATCCCCAGATGACCCTTACCTTTTTCTTTAAGTGCTGTGGTTTCATTCATACCTGCAAGCTGTAATTTGTTTATTCATAATTACTGTGCTACTTAAGCCTTCAGCTTTTTCTCCACATCCCATGAGAGGAGAAGGATTAGCTTTTTAGATAACCATTTCAAAGCAACAAATCCATTAGGGGCATCATGGTTTTATGAAGTGAAACGTGGTTTAGTCTTCTTTAACGGTAGCTCATCAGGACATTCATATTATGAAATTTTACTTTAAGGAATTTCATAGTTTCACTTTTAAATTGGAGAGGCATCTCATCCAGCTTCCTGGTAATATTTCAGGCTCAGGCAGACACAAAGATAGTCCAACTGTAACATATTTAAATATGATCATATTTAAACATTTGTTTTTTATACATATATTGCTTTTGTCTCTGCATTTCACTCTCTACAGTTTTAGAGTCATTTGAACAGATCACTGTGAAATCAGAATTAGCAATGACTTTGTTAATCATTTTTTACATTATTTTAAAGGTTATAGTTTTCATTCCATATTTGCATTTTTGCCTTGAAGGCTGATAGAGAAACCTTAAGTCTTTGCTGCTTTCTATGTGCTTTGAAAAGTGTAGTTAAAATCACCAAATAACCTAAAACCAAGTAATGCAAAGCCCTGTGAAAATATTTGACTGAACTCACCTCATGTATTTGTATTTTACCAGCCGCAAAAACAATTAACAAGCGTTCAGAGCCCCCCTTATCAAAACTCAGCAGCACTGGTGGTCAAAATTCCAGCTCTTTAAACAGGAGTTCCAAAGAAATGTGCAGAACTGTAGTAGCACTCATTGGAAGGTTAAGTAAGTTGAATTAACAATAGGGGTCTCTATACTGAAAGGTTTGACTTCAATGAAATAGGCATCAATACCAGGTGGGGGGATTGCAAAAAGGAAATACTGTTTTGGTTCTTTGTATAATTCTTTGTTCAGTTTTTCTAATATAATTATGAATCACTGGTATTTACAATTTGTCTGAGTATAAACAGACAGAAAATGAGTTTGATGTTAGTAAACATGGTAGTATGCCTTGTAAGCATGTGATAAATAAGTAATGTGGTAATGTAATTTGAGCCTAACCATTTTCTTGAACAGTGGCCAACAACTCATCTATGATCAAAGAGAAAAATTAACTGCGTTTTTCTGTTTCCAGATTCAAGGGGGGGATCCTACTGGCACTGGTACAGGTAAATACTTTACTTTAACCACATTTTGAATTGCATAACGCCTACCTTTTGAATTATTGATGGTTTCTATTTGGAAGCTTCTCACAAGCACATCACGCTACTTCAGATGTCAGGAGTGTTACTAAATTTATTCTGTGAAGTCACATGGGAATAAATGCTCAAAAGGAGATCATGTCAATCGAAATGGACAGAGAATAAGCCAGAGAATTTGGGAGTGGTGAACAACCAGTAATTCAACATATGATATGAGTTTCCTGTATTTAAAAACCATATGAAAAAGAAACTAAGTATAGTTGGCTGCGAGACCACATATCCTACCTACTTGTCATCTGTGCTACTAGGGGTGTTTGCTATACAAAGCTGAGCTTTGTTTCTCCAGGCATCTGAGCACTGTGCAAAATGCATCAACCATGACAGATTTATGAAGGTGCAGAATTTCTGAGCTGTGGGCAAAATTCTCCATCTCATCACCTGGATTGAACAATATGGGCACACAACGCAATAACAGACTTTTAGTCAGATTTGCAGCAGGGCCTTGTGGGTCAGCTTAGCAGTCCCACCAAATACAGGGTTCTAATTCTTTTATTTCTTTTGCAGTTTGTGGACACTTTTTAAGGATGACGTAGCCCCAGCTAGCTTTAGCTCAACTGAAATGTCATCAGGCCTAACAAATGTCATCGTTTTTTTTGGGAGACAATGAATTTAAAGAAAAAAAGCAAACATAAAGGGATCACGGAGAAAGAAAAGTCAAGCATTTATATTAGGACAATTTTTTAATGTAATTACTCCTCTTATCAAGGGATAGTTATGAAACACTATGACCATGTTTACTGCATACTGCACTTTCAATGTTGCGAGAAACTTTGACATTGGAAATATACCAGAGAAAAGTTAAGGAGCTGTTGGGAGGTTAAAGAGTGGTAATGAGAATTCTTATCGCTATCGGTGATACTATAAGGACCTTTTATTTGCCTTTAATGTTTTCACATTTCTATGAGAAACTAGATACACGGTGCAGGTTTTCATCTCCACAACAGCTGCTTACTAAAATTTTGAACAGACTTAATATTGGACTCAGGTATTTTGACAAGACTTTTCAGATAATGTGAAAAATAGTTGACATTTTTTATTTAGATACCAAGCGTCATCTTGGCATTTAATCTTTGTCTCCTACATTAGAGGACTTTGTGAGACCCCGCATCAGCATGGGTTTTGTGCAGTTTGAGAACATTACACGCCCTTCACAACTGGTTTTGGTACTGCACATTAGCACTTGTTAAGAGGATTTTTTTTGTTTTTGTTTTGTTTAACTCTTCACAGCCAGTGTGAAAGGGTTTTAGTTTAGCCACCAGAAACTTGAAAGAGCTGATTGGTGGTGCTATGCTGTCAACATACCAGGACACTACCATTACCAGCAGCATTCACAGACTTTTAATATTGAGGAAATGGGAGAGAAAGTCCTCTTCCATTTTAAGTGAACTGCTCTGTTTTCTTACCTGTGCTTAAATCAGAATGAAAAGCAATTACCTGCTTATGTAAGCATCCACTATTTCCCAAGACTCTTGAGTAATTTCATTCATTTTAAACCCTCTAGTACCAATTTTAAACATTTAACATTGAACACCTAATAAAACCTGAGCTATTTAGATTCAAGCAAGAAGCACATGCTCACATTTCGAGAAATGCCTAAATAATAGGTTTGTAATTAAAACTGACCCAAATAACCGAGTCACTATTCATGTTTTTGTGTAAATGGTAACTTTTCCTAATCAAAAGAATGCATTGATTAACTTTCTTCTTTTTTGCCAATGTATTTTGTCTATGATCAGTCATGCTGAGGTAAAATGACAGCATGTTGCTGAATTATGTAGTAATGCCACAAGTTAAACAATTCAATTCAGTTTTATTTAACTAGCGCCACATCACAGCAACAATTATCTCACAGCACTCACCAAACAGAGCAGGTCAGACTCTACTCTGAAGTTATTTACAGAAGCCCAAAAATTCCCACCAAGAGCAAGCACTAGACGTCAGTCAAGGAAAAACTTCCTTTCAAGAGGCAGAAACTTCGAGCAGAACCATGGCTCAGGGTGGACGGCCATCTGTAGAATGATGTGTAAAAATTTCTTAGGAGCTTTCACGCCAGCATAAACACATAAAACATGCTGAATAGATATTGTCACATTGATATTGTATATTCACAGGCATCCTCCTGGATTGATGCCATCTGACAGGACAGCACATTTCTGGGTTAGAAATCCTTCCCCCCTGTTTGGAGCCAATAAACTCCTGCAAAGTATATTCTTGTACACTCATCATGATGATTCTTAATAATGAAGTCAGTTTGGGTAATCATTTATTAGCAGCGGGCTCTTAACAAGGCTCCTTGTTCCATGGCAAACAGCTTTTCCACCTTTTCAAAATGCAGTTCCTTGTCTCTCTGAAAGCGCAGTTATTTAAAAAGGGGTGCACATAACTGGTACGCAGGTACGCACCCCTCTTTTCTGAAAAAAGTATTTTCTTCAGGTTCGGCTCTGTTTGGCATTTCTTTGGCGGAACACCAAAGAAGCTGCTTAATGTCTGTTGCTTTTTAGACATCTTCATGTGTAACGTTAGGTGAGATACTAACGTTACACATGACTCGTAGTCAAGTACGTGTACTTGACTATGACCTTATATATACCGGCAACAGCATCAGACATTAAGCAGCTTCTTTGGCGTTTCACCACCTACAAAGAAGTTCTGATTTTATTAAAGATGTCTTTCCCCTGACCTAATATTTCCTAATATCTACCTGTTTCTTTTATTATCCTTTCCTTTTTTCCTCAACTATGTTCAACATTCCCAGGAGGAGAATCCCTCTGGGGAAAACCTTTCAAGGATGAATTTCGACCCAACTTGTCTCATACTGGACGTGGAGTTCTGAGTATGGCTAACTCTGGTCCAAACACCAACAAGTCTCAGTTGTAAGAAAAGCATGTTTTTTTTTTCTCCAATTTGAAAAAGATAGTTGACACAATCTTTATTCCTTTGGATATCCTTTTAACTAACATAAACGTACAAAGAAATCATTTCAGGTTTTATTTTTAACTGGTCCTTTTTTTCAACTAAATTTATGATCTTTTATTTTATTTGGTCCTTAAACAATTAATTTCAACCTCTTTTTTTTAATGTGTAAATGGATGTAAATGTCAATACATTTAACACCTGAGATATTAAATTAGCCATTACAACATAAATGTCTACATAAGATTACTTTTTTTTTAAATACAATTTGGAAATATTCGAAGACCTCAATCACAAGTCTTTATTAATTTGAAACTCAATGGGCTTGTCCCAACTTGAAACAACAATCATAATATGCCCATAACCAATTGTTTCTACATTGAAACTAATATGATTCTTTAATTCTTTTTTTCTCCCTCAGCTTCATCACCTTTCGTTCATGCGCTTACCTAGACAGGAAGCACACTGTGTTTGGCAGGTAAAATTTATGCTTTGATTTATGTTTAATTAATTACTGTTTGTCTATGCTTGTCTCCAAGCCAATTGGTGTAAAAATGTTGTTGGTGGATATCCACTTCATTCTTTGTACAGTTAGGCGTAATTGGAGCTTAACGTCCTGAGGAAAAATCTATGACTGCCCAATTACTTTCAAGTGACTGTTTCGGTCCAAACCACAAAAAAAAAACGTTCAGCTGTGATTCTGATTTGCTCTGCAGTGGAAAATACAGAAGAAGTAGAACAATGAGCGTTAAGATGATTGTATCATGCAGGTTTAACATTTTTGGCATATAAATTACTTTATTGTAAACCCACTTTTGGTCCTCTTTAGTAATTCACAATCACTAAACAAAGGACAACCAGCACCACATCAGTATGTGTTTAAAATTTGAAAAATTGCACTGTAAAATCAGTGGAGGAAAAGTCAAAGCATAAGCAACAACATAAGCTGACATCACCTCAAGCTAAGATTTCTAGATTGTATTAATCTTATTAAAAAGTGTTGACTGAGCCCATGATATTGGACGGTATCTTTGAACATGAGCAGGAAGTAAAAATTGAATTCTCCTACTTTTTACTTTTGGAAGATGAGCTTCAGAGTCAATTTAAGTTCAAGTTTGTAACTGTAGTCTGACAACCTCGGCAGGAATTGCGCTCTGCTTCATCGTGCCAGCCACAAAAACCCTGCAGCATTCATGTCACTATTAAACACATCAGTGTTGTGTTAAATGGTAGAAAAGGCTGCACAGGCAATGGATTTTACAGTCTGACTCTTAAAGGATTACCTTTTCCTGCTAGATTTTATTGTGACAAATATGCTACCCCTATTTATCTTCCATATGGCAGATCAAAGTGAACATGCTTTTCAAGAAAAAGAAGAAAAAAGCCCAGGTCTGTCTAAAACATAGAAGACTTTTTCTTTGCAGGGTTGTTGGTGGATTTGAGACACTCACAGCCATGGAGAACGTTGAGAGCGATACCAAAACGGACAAACCAAAGGTGGGGATAAAGTGATGTTCATGGGTTTGATTACTTTTTTTCTTTAAAAAATCTTGGTGGGCACGTGACGCAGGTTAGACGCATGTAAAATTGTGTTTTACTTGATAGTATTCAACTTTTACCTGATAGTACTCAACTGACCAATGGTAGTTGTTGCAGCAGTTCACGTTTCTACATGGCTGACATTAAAGGCATCTGAGAAGAGCGGGAGCCAGTCTTTTTTTTTTTTCCTTAACTGAGGTTTGTAACGAAGAGCCATAAAGACATCACTCAACTTAGCTTTATCTGTTTGTCTGTTTGCAAAACAGAACTATTTTCCAATTTCAGACTGAAATCAAATCTACCCAAACATGGCAGGTATATTAACAAAAGTTATATACAGAGGCCAAAATGTCTTTCTGTTTTTTTGTTTCTGGTTTTTAATCTCCTTTCAGTCGGAGATCAAGATCATAACAGCGACTGTGTTTGTGGACCCATACGAAGAGGCCGATGCTCAGGTTTGATTCTTGATTAATTTTATTTTACGAGTTTTACATGTAAGATAATGATGATCAGACCGACAATCTAAACCAGTTGATGCTCCACCCAAACAGTTTTCCTTTTCCAGTGGAAATCTTGAAGTTATTAAATCCTTAACAGTTCCAATTGGTCATTTAATTGGACCACAAGTCTTAAAGCATCCTTAAATGATGTATGTATGCTCCACTAATACTATGAAGTATGTCAGGAAAAATTGTTCCAAGCCTCCTTGCAGCTTCTAACATTATCGGTGTATGTACAGGAAATCTTGAATGAGTGTTTAGAATTTTTTTTTTTTGAATGACCACAGTGTACAAATGGTCCTAACCATCTGATATTTAATCAGTTTTTTACAACTATTGTAAAAAAAAAAATAATAATAATAAAGAAACTGAGATATTTGTAAGTTGGAGCAACTTTGTTGATAGGCACTTTCACTTCACTGTACTTTTTTTCAAACTAACTTGAGCTCCAATGGTGTGCCTCATTCATATTTGAGTCTAGTTGAGCCGTTACAGTACAATAGACTGATATTCCCCAACAAAAGCAATTTCCCATCCTTAAAAAAATTCTACAGTTTTGTAATAACAAGCAGCTTTCAATTTGAGAACAGAATGGTTGCACCCAGTTTGAGATGACACCTTTAGTTCAATAACAACTTGGAAATGTTGGTCAAAACACTGATCCTTTTATGTATAACAAATTAGGTTGTCGCAGGCTCCACCCTGCCAGGCCTCAACTTGTCCAATTCTGCCCGCAACATTGAAGTTTCAATTTGTCATTCTGGTTTCAGTGGGGTGTGATGCTACAATCCACTTACTTGCTCCTCATGTGCTTTCTTTAGATTAACCAAAGCAGTGAAACCAAGTAATTTGATGTGTTTTGTTTGATATATTTTTCTTGGAATGTAAAGTGCTTTGGGCAATGAACTACAAGTATCAAGCAGCCTTCCTCAAGTACAACATCTGATATGATATAATAGTTCAATTCACTGATAATGGGCATTTTAATTAATTCTAACATTTAGATTGCAGCAGAGCGAGAAAAAGAGCTCCAGAAGCAGGAGGAAGAAAAGCAGCAGGCAAGCAATGCTTTGAAACAATCCAAGGAGGACCAGCCTCCCAAGACCTTCAAACTAGGTGTCGGGAAATACATAAATCCTGCCATAGTGTAAGGACACACACACACGCACACAATTTGATGTAGAGATGAGTCATTCATGGGCTGGGTAGCATGAAGCTGCACAAAAGTATGGTAGAGCACATTTTCCAACGTCTTTAATTTCTGTATCTTTCAAAATTTTGTTGTAGTAAATCAGTTTAAAATGTCTCTTGACTGATGACTGGTTAATCTAAAAATTACTTTTTGCCATGTTATTAAACTTTTTATTATGATTGAGGTTTTTTTGTCCTCATTTGGGACATTAAAAGGTTAAAGAATATATATTTATGTATATTTGAATGTATATTTCACAGTTTTGGATTATGTTTGATGTTTGAAATTGACAAACCATAACCAAATAGAAATGGCAAAGGAAAGTGATAACTGTTTCATATCACATGATTTTACAGCCGCACACTCTAAGCTATAATGTGCTACACTGTCTATTATGAAGACAAAAACCAATTGCCCTCTTGCTTTATCATCCAGAACTCACCGAGAACAAATTTTTCAGTCAAAACCAAATTGCAGAATGTGTTGAGATGGGACGGTAAAATGCGGTCTCATTTTCCATTCATCATTATTTTCTCACAGAAAACGGTCAGCCACTGAAGATGAAGGTGGTCCATCCACTCGTGGATCAGAAGCTAAGAAGTCTAAAGGCACAGCCAGCTTCGGAGACTTCAGCTCTTGGTAGCACAAGAGCTTTCAGCATTTATGTTATAACCATTCAGCCTGAGTCCAAGCAAAAACAATTACATGCATATTTTTGTGATCTCCACTAACTTTTTTGCTTGTTTTTTTTTTTTTTTTAAACAATGAATTAAATGAACTTTGTTTTCATAAATTCTGTGTTCCTTTCACAGTTCTGTAAGATGGCTTTTGAAACCGTATAGAGTAATGAAACAGAAGTATAGATTTGAAATCTTTTATGACAGCTGTGTCTGAATAAAAATTGTGTTTGTGACGTGTTCACAGTGAGCAGTAAAAGTGTAAAAGCCAAAGTGTAGTGAAAATCTCAAATGGCTGGTTTTGTTTTTATACAAAATGTGGATGACTAAATACTTCCAAATGTAAATAAATTTACTGGTGTGAGATCTAAGTCCTTTATTTAACTGAAAGTGCAGAAATGGCACGGCTAAAGTTGTATCCTTTAAAACGCAATTAATGGATGCACTGTGGTCTCCACTGTAACGCTGCGTGCTGCTGGAGGTATTGTTTAGATACAAAGTTTTCATGCTTTCAACTGATTGAATATCTTTAGAATCACTTCCTTGGAAAAACTTCTTAAAAGCACATGGAATGCAAAATTAAGTATGGTTACTGACCTACACAACTATCCTTTTCATGTTTTCGCACTGCCATATCAGCAAAAAATTGAGTGCAGACCTGTTTTTGATACAGTTGCATAAAAAACTTGAAAGTATATATTTATATGTATTCATGTATATATAAGATAAAGATACACTTTATTGATCTCACAGTGGAGAAATTCTCATTAGTGTGGGTGTATAGACAAATATGTTTATTTATATGCATTTATTTATATATATATATATATATATATATATATTTATATTACAACAGAGTATTAGGGCCACATTTTCTAAAAAATTTTAATTTATTTATTGGAGTATAAAGTCGTTATTAGATATAGCTAGAGATAATTACAAGTTTAAAAATGTTATTAAATATGGTGAGAATCCATCCATCCATTATCAATGCCGCTTATTCCCTGATAGGGTCACAGGGTGAACTGGAGCCTATCCCAGTGGTCAACGGGCGAGAGGCAGGGTACACCCTGGACAGTCCGCCAGTCCATCGCAGGGCCACACACAGGACATACAAGGACAAACAACCACTCACACTCACATTCACTCCTAAGGGCAATTTCCCCAATCTCCAATCAACCTAACATGCAGGTTTTTGGACTGTGGGAGGAAGCCGGACAACCCGGCTGCAAACTCCACCCAGAAAGGTCCTGGTTCCCCCGGGATTCGAACCCAGAACCCTCTTGCTGGGAGGCGACAGTGCTAACCACCACACCACCGTGCCGCCTATATGGTGAGAATAAATTACAAAAATAAAGTTGTAAATATTCTATCCTGTTGTAGAGGACAACAGTTGATCAAATGAGGGCCATGAAGCATGGAATTTGTGGAAATGTACTTTAGAATAGGTTTCACAAACGAGATACTTAATCTTTTGGCACATCAGTATCGGGACTTTAAAAAGAACATGCAAAAAATACCTCTTGTCCGCAGAAAAAAACAGGCGGACTTGTAAGACATTGCTGCTTTTGTGAAGGGGGAATGGCTGAAAGTGGTCAATTGCAGGATTATCGCTGGAAGCATCAGCAGGCCAGTCAGAGGGGTTTTATTCTCGCCATATTTAAGAACGACTTTTATCTTTTATTGATTTTATTTATTTTTGTTAAAGGGTTGGTATAACTCTGACAAGAAAGTCTGTCTTTGACTGATTAAGAGAGGGTGCTGTCCACTTTTATCAAGTTAGTCTGTCAGCATTAGATTTCAGACAAACTGCATCCATGCTATAGTTACAGTCTTTCAATGACATAACTCATATGCTCTTTTATTGGACAATGTGCCTGCCAGTGTGGCACACTGACCAATAACTGCCTGGTTCTGAGGAGGAAAACATGGCAGGTGCATTGCAGTAGCTATGGTGACTGCGGATGCAGAGGACTGCCATGGCTTTATGTGGGAAGAGAAAAACAACATCTCCTATTTGCGTTTTAGCAAATAATGATGGTATTAAATGTAATTTAAAAGTAAATGCAAGGTAAAATGTTACCTTGCATATAATAAGGATTTTAAAAATACTTAGACTTTTATTTAGATTATCTGCAAAGCATATAAAAACACTTTCATTCATATTTAAGTAAAGAATTATTCTTGCCACTATGTGCACAGTCCTCATCGGAACCATTGATGTGTGGTTTTGCTTTTATTTGACTTTTGTCTCATTTTTTTACTTTCACAAAAGATTTGTTTTCTCCTGGACAGTATTTTTCTGTCCAACAAATGAAAAGAAAATGCTCATAAGGGAACACATTTTATATTTTTTATAAAAATTTTATATTTTTATAAAAATAAATGTGAAAAAAATTATTAGAGGGTTCTATAGCTTTAGAAAACAAGCTTACAACCCATCAAAAGAGAGATTAACCCAAAACTTTATTTGACCAAAACAAATATTATATATTTGAATATTTGTGGAATGAAATAATTATTTGCATTGTCTTTATTAGTATATTATTACTATCACTATTACTGAACATGCATATCAGAAAGTGTGTTTTGGACTATTAAATGTAGTTGTGATCATTAAGCTTATCAATTATGGTTGTTATATATCCACTTTTAACAGAAGGCAAACAGCAACCCAGTTCCACAAGGAAATTGTCCGATTTCCTTTTTTTCTACAGTTGTTCACTATTACTACAGGAGCAAGACAGCAAGAGAACAAACACTACCACTAATGTCTAGAGATGATCTGCCTTGCTGCATTTCACTCTCTGGTTGTGACTCACCACTATGAGCATGAGGGCTGGCCTCACTAGATGACATCAGAATTCTTGAAATAGCAACATCAAAGAAGCTTCCAGTTATGGAAGCTTTCTGAAAGGCCTCTAACCGACAGCATTCACTGACAGCTCAAGAGGGGTTTGTGGCTGGGGGGATCAAAGACAATAAAAAAAGGATTATTTACTTTATATTTCTCTAGATCTGATACCAAATACAGATGGGATGAAAAATTGAGAACAAACTTTAATAACAACTTAAATATCTACATAAAAATCATTCTATTTTTTACTTCAATCTCAATTTATTTAATCTGAATCTGGAGTGAAAGCATGTGTTACATGTGGATTCGTTTCAACTTGGCTGATCACAGTGGCTGGCTTCCCCACAACTCAGTTTACTCCTCACTCTTGTGTGTACCTCACACTTAATCACTTTGCTTATCATTCTGTGCCTGCTTCACATTTCTCACAAAGTGTTCATGGAGTGTTGCTAAAGAAAACAGGCAATATGATCATTGATGCATTGTCTAATCCATGACACCACCACCTGCATGGAGACCCTTTAGTGAAAGAGTGTTGCAGCAGCAGGTGAGTCTGAGAATAACACTGACCACAAACAGTCACCATCACTGTGCCCTTTTTATCTGCTGCCACGAAAACACCAACTTATCTAACCCCACTGTCTGCACACAGAATGTAGCCCTTACCAACTAATGATTAGACTAAACATTAAAGGGTCGGCTATATTGGAAAATGTTTGCGCCAGTGGTGGGCCGTCAGGGCCTGCAAAGCCTTCTCTGCAGGCCTAAGAAAATATCTGAATCACTGACTGATGTTAATTATATTTTGTCCATGGAAACTTATTAAATATCTCTAAATAGTCTGTCCGCTTCCTTTCATAGCTTTTCCCCTGGTTGCGCTGCTTCAAGACATGCATTTTCATATACATTGGGGCAAAAAAGTATTTAGTCAGCCACCAATTGTGCAAGTTCTCCCACTTAAAAAGATGACAGATGCCTGTCATTTTCATCATAAGTCAACCTCAACTATGAGAGACAAAATGAGGAAAAAAAATCCAGAAGATCATATTTTCTGATTTTTTAAGAATTTATTTGCAAATTATGGTGGAAAATAAGTATTTGGTCAAAAACAAAAGTCCATATCAATACTTTGTTATATACCCGTTGTTGGCAATGACAGATGTCAAACGTTTTCTATAAGTCTTCACCAGGTTCTCACACACAGTTGCTGGTATTTTGGCCCATTCCTCCATGCAGATCTCTTCTAGAGCAGTGATGTTTTGGGGCTGTCGTTGGGCAACACGGACTTTCAACTCCCTCCAAAGATTTTCTATGGGGTTTAGATCTGGAGACTGGCTAGGCCACTCCAGGACCTTGAAATGCTTTTTACGAAGCCACTCCTTTGTTGCCCGGGCAGTGTGTTTGGGATCATTGTCATGCTGAAAGACCCAGCCACGTTTCATCTTCAGTGCCCTTGCTGATGGAAGGAGGTTTTCACTCAAAATATCACGATACATGGCCCCATTCATTCTCTCCTTCACACGGATCAATCGTCCTGGTCCCTTTGCAGAAAAACAGCCCCAAAGCATGACGTTTCCACCCCCATGCTTCACAGTAGGAATGGTGTTCTTTGGATGCAACGCCGCATTCTTCTTCCTCCAAACACGGCGAGTTGCGTTTTTACCAAAAAGTTCTATTTTGGTTTCATCTGACCATAAGAGATTCTCCCAATCCTCCTCTGGATCATCCAAATGTTCTCTAGCAAACTTCAGACGGGCCTGGAGATGGACTGGTTTAAGCAGGGGGACACGTCTGGCACTGCAGGATTTGAGTCCCTGGCGGCGTAGTGTGTTACTGATGGTAGGCTTTGTTACCTTGGTCCCAGCTCTCAGCAGGTCATTCACTAGGTCCCCCCGTGTGGTTCTGGGATTCTTGCTCACCATTCTTGTGATCATTTTGACCCCATGGGGTGAGATCTTGCGTGGAGCCCCAGATCGAGGGAGATTACCAGTGGTCTTGTAGGTCTTCCATTTTCTAATAATTGCTCCCACTGTTGATTTCTTCACACCTAACTGCTTACTGATTAGAGATTCAGTCTTCCCAGCCCGGTGCAGGTCTACAACTTTGTTTCTGGTGTCCTTCAACAGCTCTTTGGTGTTGGCCATAGTGGAGTTTGGAGTGTGACTGTTTAAGGTTGTGGAAAGGGGTCTTTTATACTTATAACGAGTTAAAACACGTGCCATTAATTCAGGTAACGAGTGGGGGACAGAGGAGCCTCTTGAAGAAGAAGTTACAGGTCTGTGAGAGCCAGAAATCTTGCTTGTTTGTAGGTGACCAAATACTTATTTTCCACCATAATTTGCAAATAAATTCTTAAAAAATCAGACAATATGATCTTCTGGATTTTTTTTCCTCATTTTGTCTCTCATAATTGAGGTTGACTTATGATGAAAATGACAGGCATCTGTCATCTTTTTAAGTGGGAGAACTTGCACAATTGGTGGCTGACTAAATACTTTTTTGCCCCACT